TCACCAACCATGTTGAAGCAAAGAAGTGCAATCCAGGAATATTCTCAAGTTGACTTTCAACGCTGCCCACGGAGAAGAGCACAGCCTGACTATGAAACTGCAACCAGTATGACCAACTTCCGTGCTTAGCATTATGAAGTTTTACCTTGGTCATCGTCTTCCGACTGAGGAGCAAGACAGTTGGAGGATTCGAGGGCGGCTGCAAACTATACGCAAGGTGGTTGATGAACAGATTCAGAAGCGTGAATTCCCAGATGCAATGGGATATGGAAAGAATACGAGACTGAAATGTGGGAGGATACTGTGAGCAAGGATAACAGTACGGTTGACAACAGCGATGATCAAGATGCAAACGTCTGCAGGATATCCTGTCTGGAAAGGCAAGCCGAGAGTGCATACCGCCCAGGATAAGAATAGTCTTGGGAAGAGATTGGTCTGCATGGACTCGATTGAAGAGCATGAATGGATGATATCAACACTGGGAGCTGTCGCTCACAAGTTGAGTGTACTGGCCGAGTGATAATACAACTCGGCAGGGAAATGAGCACTTTGGACTTGATGAGCAATCTGGAGCGGGACGCACCAAATATGCGGCGGAGTTTTGACCTGGTATCAAGATGGCGACAGTACTGGATGTGCCCAAAGGAATATGGACTTGTTAAGGCAAATTGGAATTTCCCATCGAAAAGTGCCTGGATGGCTGGCAACAGAAGGCAGATCCACGCTACAAGTATATCCCGCAATGAGCTTGAGGGATTTGCTGTCAATATTTGCCATCAGTATCCGAGACATGTCGGCTATGGTTCCCATAGATGTGTTGCAGGCACGGACAAACCGAAGGATAATGTCTGGAGACAAAACATATCCTGGGGCGAAAGCCTGCAGGAACTTGATTCATATGTGAATGCAAAGCTGGCAGTTTATTGAAGAAAGTGATGGCAACCTTTGAATGGTCGGCAAATGCGAAGATTTCCAACACAAAAGCTTACAAGACAATATCACCCAGGCCGATTGGAGACGGAGTGTTAAGGATCAACCATAGGTTAATGGGGCAACAGGAACACTGCATTACGACACAATGGGGAAGCGATTATGGCCATAAACATTCCGGAAATAGCCTGAGCCGGGAATGGAGCCAAGCTGGACAGATCGCAGCATTGCAAGGTTGATCTAACCAGCAACACGGAACGAATAAAAGTCGCCGTCCGCAGGGCAGTTTGGATATGACTTGCACCGCACAAACCCCGTAGATGTACAGTTTGGGCGTTTAGCCCAGATTGTTCCCGATGGCCACTTCAATTCCCTTCTATCTGGTATCCAAGTACCATTGTTGCCAAAGGAATTGTTCACCTGCAAGACACCCCTTCCGCCCTCGGTCGCCGCACCCACAAGCTTTGGTATCGTTAACTGTCGTGGGCTGTCCCTCATATTTCGGCAGACCAAACTCAGCTGACTTTAGAAGCCACAGCGCCAGTTCCGCATGTTAGTCCACGCCGTGCCGGGCGCAGTTTCAAACTTCCAATGCTCTGTCTGAATGACCTGTGACAGATTTCCTGAACCTGATTCCGCTACAACTCGTTTCCACTGTTCGTTCACAGCCACATAACACTTTGCGTTGGACTTGGAGATGTGCACCTCCCAGTCGAATAGCTAGATGTCGACATCGCACAGCACCAGGAATTACGACGATCAATCTCAAAGCTTGGCAGGTTCTCCATTGCTTTAGAGGACAAACAGTATCATCCTCGTGCCAGAACAGGCTATTGAGGCCGAGTAGGGTATCAGCAGCTTAATCTTCACAAAGACATCCGTGACGATTGAGGAGGAGGTAGTACTAGCGCCTCCTTAAGCTATCACGCTGTCATTGTTATCCTGCCGGGACGGTGACCGCGAACTGGAGCCAGGGCGTTGTTCTGACATGAAACTTCTCCACAACAGCAAACCACTCGTACGTTGGTTTAAGATGCTATTTCAGTCAAATGTATCAGAGCATGGCCGGGGTTCGCGTCAAGTCGAACTGGATGCAAACCAAACTCAGAAGGGAGTTCTGATTGTGTGACTGGCTTTGTCGGTATGAGCTGCAAAGGAGCTCTGGGAAAGAGCCTTGGCTCCCATAAGCTAATTAGGCGCTGACATAGGATATGATGACCATAACAACCATACGAGCAACATGATGGCTCTTTACCATGCTAAACATTCACTGACTGCCTGTGGTCAGGAGGACGGTTGCCGATCATAATACCCTTCGGCCTCGAGCAGTCCAACTGCTCTGGAAGGCGCCAATCTCGCATTCTCTCGCTCGCTCGCTCTCCAACGACTCTGCTGCACCCGGCTGGATGTGGAGATATGGTTGGCATAGCCTCGAAGCCTAGTAGTGCTGCAGTAGTGGACGAGGATATGTATTTTGGGAAAACAACGGTTGAAGCAAATTGGTCCTTGAACATAGCACCATTCCAGGGGTTTCAACACGGAATCTACGAGCAGATGCTGGATAGTAGGCCGACAAGGGGCAATACGATGTTGCCACAGATGCCCTGAAGACCGGATGGCAGTGTCGTTCAAAACATTGGACTACACAGCTGGAGCCATACGATGTCTATATGATTTAGTGTTGCGTATGAACCAATCCATGTAATACTATCTAGTCAAGGCGGAAGCGATGGCACTGGCAGGTGTGGCAGTACATACACTGGCGACTAAAGAGTGTACACTAATGGAAAGGTGGGAGAATGGCAACTGTTGTTTAAGGGCTTGGAACCAAAACACCAGTATTGACTGCCATAACCTTCCACTCTTGGAACCTTCTCAGGCCGAACCTTAGGATCAACTCCTATTCGATTAAAGGAAGCCCATTGTATGCGCTTTGGATGCTTGCTGACATCTTGTTTCTTGCCCCAGGGGTGTTCTTGCATCAATATCCTCAACAAGTTCAGACAGGCCGGCGCGCCCAGGTTCGGCTGTGGGTTCGTCCATTACCCATTGCAGGATATGGGGTTGGTCGTACTAAGACTGCTTGGGCATAGAAGCGTGGTGGGGAGCCCCGGGCTGTCCATCACGATCGTCCCAACGTTCGGCAACGCGAGTGCATTGGGGCTGGACATAGACAGGTTATCAACTGCGTGCTTGACTTAGATTGAAACAAAGACGGATCTGTAGAAGACTCTGAAGGTCAACACCATGGACATCATGACGAGGTTGTGATCATATCGGGCGTCACCGGCGCAAAGCCAGACCGTGTACAGTCCCATCTCACTGCCAGGGAGATCCGGGCTAGAGGCACAGACCCGGGTGTGTGTTTGCTGGCGATCGACATGCGTGAAGGTCATTCGATCGTGGTAGGCACTATGATCACGAGCGGTGAAGCATTCGTTACTGGCTGCTCGAGCTGCAACGGGCTGCTGAACGGAGGCGACCTTCCGGACCTCAAGCTTACCTTGATCGAACCAGACGAGGCTTTTGGCCTGTTTCAAGGAGGTAACTAGGTTAAACGAGTCATAGACGGGGGGTGGTGCTTCAGCGTCGTGACGGCTGAGCTGGAACATCGTTCTGAAAAAGCCGATATAGCATTGGAATCCCTTCGCAGCGGTTGTTTCCTTCCGAACTTCAAGTAGGGGCTCTAGAACTCGAGGCGTCCGTGTTACCTGAACGTTAACTCTCTTCCATGCACTGTTACCACGAAGTGCCCACACATAAACAAGCGCCTTATCTCAATCTCGTTTCCTTCGAACACGAGTTCCCGTTTCTCAGCGATGATGGCCAACAAAGAGAAAGGCAAACCTCTTCAGAGGGACTGACACGGCGATGCGCACAGACAAGTTGGTGCTTGGAACCATCGCTCGTGATGGAGAAAATAGCTGCCGTCCTTGTATGAGAATCCTTGAATGCCGAACAGGGAATGGATGCAGGTGATAGAGAGGCCCATATCGGATGGCTGGGCCCTTTCTGCAGTTACGGCTGATGAAGCCTGGTGGATGGAAATCATGGAATCAACTTGTTGAGGTTGTTTCCGCTCGTTGGTCCGCATTTCTCTTAGTTTGCCGGCGTAGCCTTTCCGTCCAAGCGTTAGGCACAACCATCTTCTTGCCGTGATCCTAACATCACCTCGGTGCCATGGACAGGAAACCGTAGGCGAGGCTCTGTGGGCAAGCCGTTCGTTGTCGACTACGGTGGTTTCTGGAGATCCATTGGCCAGAAATTGCAACTCGACGCCAATGCCACAAATGACAGTATTGGTAGCATCAATTGCCGTGTAACCTTGCCCATAGAAGTTGTATTCAGGAAATATAGGACGCGAAATACGATTTTGGATGGGAGACAAGATATAATGTCGATTCGAATCAGCTTGCGAACATTTGCGCAGAAGGATGAGAACTACCCGGAGTAGCATTATGCGAGAATATGAAGGTATCCTTCCATCTCGGATCTCCATTGCAAAATGTGTCGTCCACCCTCCGTTTGTGCGTACCTTGGACTTAACCTTCTCCCAACGACCATTTGTCCAGGCCTGAAGCAGTCACTGTATGCCATGGCGCAATTATCTGCTTCCCCTGTAGGGAATAAACTCTCGAGAAGTGTATGGAAGACTGAAGTAGATCCCTTCATGGAGAATAAACACACAGGAAAAGCGACCAAATCGTGCCGAGTGCGGACGGAATCAACAAAATGTCGGCAATATTGCGGGATGCTGCACCGGTAAGCGCCATCAATTACCGGCACAGCTTGAAGGAGAAACATGGACGAGAGATCCAACCACGCTGAGGAGCTGGCCTTATGCTGCTCCGACGAACATAACAGGGCGGGAGTCCAAGAGAGAGCTGTTGTGCACCCAAACAAAGAGGAATATTGCAAATGGCTGAGCGAATAAGTATTGCAAGAGGAGACACATCGAACAGGAAACCCAGCCCATATCACGAGAGAAGATGAATGTGAGCATTGAGAACGCTGAGACAGGCCACAGCCGGCGTCACGGAAGATATCGAGACGGACTTCTTAAGACGAGAGGCTGCCTTTTCTGCGCACACAGGCCAGGCACTCAAAACAGTGCCTCTAGTCCGAAGCGAATGGAACCGGCCCCGAAATCAAGGGCTAGAAACAGCAAGCATAGCATCACTGGAGACAACTGACAGAGGACGAGTTTGGACGGGACATAACACTCCTCTTGCACCGAAGGAGGATGAAACCTGTTTGACAGGACAAGAAATGCGATCCACAACAACAAGAAGGTTTGGGATCGTGTTTATGTTGCTCAGGAAGGACATTGAGATGTGGCGAAGGGAAATAGCCTCAGAAGTTCTGAGGAACACTCGGGACGCCGATGGCCATGATGAACGAGGATGCAGACAGGCTCTTAGATACAGAATCCGCTTAGCAGGATCAACTCTCACAGGCAGAGTCTCCATCCTTGTCACTCATAGAAGCCTTGCGCAACCCCGGCTTCCAGACCCGTCCCAGCTGGCCAAGTTCTGACGAACCTTCAATGTCTCCCACATACAAACCACCACACCGAATTAGCGGCAGCACTGGCAGCACTGGCTGCGATGGAGAGGATGGTTGGGATCCTGGTGCGGACCAGGACTGAGGAGACACTGTCCATATGTGCCGGAAATACCAAAGGCGGAGGCGGGAGTGGACACGGATTCATATTCCCAAGCCAGCACTGATGCGAACGAGGCACTCCATGATGCTGAGCTGCCCACAACCGCGAGATATGATGTTCCAGGACAGGCGTTGAGGTGAAAAGGACTTCGGAAAAGACCTGAAGAGTACCACAATCATGTCTTGAGAGCCAGGTTGATCGACAACATGCTGAGAGTTTCGCATTAGACCTCCTCTTCTTCCTCGCGGATGCAAGTTTTAATCTCAACCCACTGTCCCCCTCTCTCGTAGAACGCAGGTATCCGCTCAGGCATGAGATTCCCGTTCGGGTCCGATGTTAAGCATCAGTGTACTCCCGAGGTTGCGCTTATGTTCCGTCTTCAGCATGGTATCCCATGTTTCCATGGACCGTTCAGGAGCCGGCAATTCCATAAGTTCTTGGCCAATCTGTATGCTGCGAAGACCAGGCCACGTTACCTGCTTAACATGACTTGTAGCACCTAAGGCAACCTCAGCGAGCCTTGTCCACGCTCTTGTTTGTGCAAGGAAGCCTGAGGTTTGTATGTAGAATTCCAATCTCCTTGTAGTGCTTGTTTCCCTTGTATCTTGTGGTATAGGAACATCGAGAGGATCGAAGAGCGCGCATCGAAAGGCGCATCAGAGAGGAGGATCGAAAGGCGCAGTACGGAGGAGGATTAGACAGGAGGATCGAAAGGCGCATCGACAGGCGCATCATGAGGAGCATCGCAGGGCGCATCAGGAAAGAGGATCGAAAGGAGGCCGCTGATCAAGCCGAGCAATTAAGAGGGAGCTGGCGCAAGTAAAGACGGAGACCAGGCTCAAGTAGCCCCAATTTGTCAACAAGTGTGAGATCGTAGGTCCGCAAGCTGGCGCCGTGGAGCGTGAGGTCGCTGTTACTGTTACTGTAACATCTGAACGTGCGGCGCAGAGATCGACAGGCAAGGTCGAGGCAGATCAGCCACAATGTATCAGCCATAATGTCCAAGGCACAGATTGGAGAAAAAGAACTTGAATGGCGTGTGACCTTCGGCGGCTAAGCGACCGTATGTATCAACATTTGGATGCGCTCACTAGAAAGGAGCAGAGGATTCGCTCGACGGCTCAAGGCACTCAAGCCAAGTGACGCTGAACGAGGGCGCAGTGGTCGCAATATTATGGCGCGCAGTTGAATTGTCGCAGGAAGGCTCAATCGATGCGCCGCAACGAAGTGATCAAATTCAGATGCCATACCGGATCGTGATGCCGCAACCTATCTTCATGGCCTTCGCAGCATGGTTTCCAATAGTAGAGCAGAGAACTGGAGGTGCAGCTGAGGAACGGGATAATGTCCTCACAGTTGCCGCCGGCTTCAATGAATTGGGTGATAATTCATTGCCTATGCTCACCGTCCGCTGTATGAGTCTGTTTTCCCTTATCTTCACTGTTTGCTGGCGAGGAGGTGCTTCATAGGCACAAGATCTGAAACCGCTGGAGTCTCAGGCTTTCGACGTCGAACTGCGCGGTGGTCGCCGCAGTTGTAAGGTGCTTGAAGCTGTCATGGGCACAAGGGAGAGCTGGAATTGCTTGTCTTTCAGGCTTTCGGAGTCGAACTGCGCGGTGCTGCCGCAGTTCTAGGTGCTTGAAGCTGCCACAGCCACAAGGGAGAGCTGCAACCGCTTACCCTCAGGGCTTTGAAGTCGAATTGCGCGGCGGTTATATTTCCAGCCTGAGGTTGACTGATCTGCGCCCCAGTCGCCGCAGTTACAAGTTGCTTGAAGCTGTCACGGGCATAGGGGGGTGGGCTAGAACCGCTTCGTCTCCCACTGCACAGGCGGCCGTCTTAGTTCCAGGCTCGCTAGTCTGCGCTTCAGTCGACGCGATTGCTCTTGCTGGGTATCCCTAGTTATCGTTATGGTTAACTCGTCTCCGGAGTGGCGATTTATACTAGGGGGGCTTACTTTGGATTCATTGCGAACCTGTTATATGAGGAGAGTACCTTGGTCTCATGTCTTCTCACTCCATCAGGAGGGTGTCTTCTCGCACAACTCTTTAGAAGAGGGCGTTTATTCTCAGCAACTGCAAGCAGCGCCGGTGTTCTCCCACGAGAGGCCATCTACTCGTGGTTTCGCCAGACCCAGCGTTTGCCGGCGGCGTCCACTTTCGGCAACCTCTCAGGGTCGTAGGTTGACGGAATAAGCTTTCGCTTATTGTCCCGATCGAATGGTCGCGCCACCCCGAGGGCAAAGTAAACGCCACCGCAGACCCTGTCGGCCTTCCCGGAGCAGTAGTTGCAGCTCCGGTGCGTGTGTCGTTGCGCCTTTGTCTTGTCAAAGGACGCCCCCTTCTGGTTCAGATGGGCAAAGAAGCAAGGCCTGTCGGGTGACTCGGGGTCTCCGAAAGTAGGCACCGGCCCCATGGCGGCCTTGTCGACCGCCTGCCAAATCGTCGCTTCGTCGGCCCCCTTCCAGTGGATGAAGGGTTTCATCTGCGCCTCGAAGGTCGCTACGACGAAGTTGGCGGGGAACTCGAACTCGGCGACAACTCGACGGTACACGTCGTTGACTGGGTTCGATCCGACGTCTGGCATTGGTGTATCCACCGCTGCCGCCGACGCGGTCGTAATCTCGCTCGCGGCATCGGATGCCGGGCGCTGTACAATCGCTCCAGAAGCATCTCGCCGCGCTGGCGCAGAGATCTGGGCGTCCGAATCTCGGAACTGGCGCATCATTTCCAAGAACTCACTCCGACTGAGATTGGCATTTGCTTGTTGTGAGTTTTCTTCTTGAAGACGCTTGTTTTCGCCCTTCAATTCATTGATCTCCCTGCGGTGCTGATCGTCCTTTTCCCGGCTTTCTTCCTGTACCGCTTTGATCTCCCTGCGGTGCCGGTCTTCCATTTCCCTTCGATCTCGACACACTCTTGAAAAGTCGGCTAGGTCTTCGCGCATTGAGGGAAGCAACAGTTCGAGATCGCCAGGCATGATCTTCGAGGTTTGTGTATCTTCGAGCACCCTTTGCATGGCATCAAGCCGCTCATTCTGGGCATCAAGCCGCTCAATCAGCGCATCAAGCCGCTCAAGGATCATCTCATTAGAAGCCATGGTGGTCGAAGAACAAGAATGTGTGAATTGAAGATATGGACTTAGGAGCGTGGATGGACAAATAGTAAGGTATGTTTATCGTGCTCATGTCAAGGAAGAAGAGCAGGCAGAATTCAAAGTACAAATTGTATGCAGCGCCACTACAGAAATGAACACAATGGCAATGCAAGAGCCACTAGTAATTTGTGCATACCTACATACTAGTAGGTATCCTTCTGCAACAACTTACCTATTGAGAACTCCAGAGCCACTGGCATACACTCCTATTCTTTTCATCCCTACCTAGGTAATATCTAGTAACATCTGCTGGCAGATACCTTGGGTATTTACGCCTCCGCTTATATTCCAGGTAAGCATTCAACTGTATCAAAGTACTGGGCACCATGAAGTTAGTAGACTAACGAAAGTACCAGATAGCAGTTGGTGTAAAGCTTCAAATTGAAGTTGAGGTTAACTTAACTTGGCGCCAAGAAATTATTCATTTCTTCCAAGCCAAGTGGCAGCATGGATGTATGGGTGTCTACCACAAGCTAAAAATCTCCACCACCAGTGTATCTATGTGCACACCCTTTCGTACCGCTTCTCCTCCCTAATGCCTCATTGTGTATCAGACCGACACCTGGAAGTCGAGATTGATGTGGCTGGTCACTGATGTATTCCCTGGCCCGTAATTATATGAAGTCTCTTTGGCGCGAGCATATGCATCCGGGAATTGTTCGCGAATCATCGCGACTGTTTCTGGCGCATACGGCCACACAGGAGTGTAGGTAAATTCGCCTTCTTCGGGAAAGGGGGAAAGCCGGAGCTTATATCCCACCCAATAATGGGTGTGCAGGGTGAAATGGCACCGGCGAAGGTACCGGACATGGTTCCCTTGAGAGACTACAAGGTTTGTTCCATCTGGCAGAAGTCCCTGTTCACCGGAGGTATCGCATTCTTGTATGATGCACGATGCCAAGCTGGAGATTCGGTACTCGCAGAGATCGTCTAGGCACAAAACCAGTGCGGAGATGATGCGTCGATCTCGTGCACTGGTCTCCACAAGTGGCTTGAGGACACGATACAGTGGGATGACTTCGTTTGACAATGATGAGCTTTGAGGAGTGAGGTGCAACATCAGAAACTCTAATAGTCGGAGAAGAACCAGAGAGTCATCGAACGACAAGTTCTGAACCTTGCCCACAAGTTCATTGATCTTATACTCCATGAAAGCGTATAAGAACGCGATGACCACTTGCAGACTTTCGAGAGTTGCGGTTCGTGCTCTGATTACGAGCGCTTGGAGATCGGCGTGGGACCAAGCACCCATTTGCAAACGACCTTTGAAAAAGAGCCAGGCTGCCTGTTCCCTTGCTGAACGGTCCGTATTGGTAGCTCTGGTGATACTGATGCGCAACCACTCTTCTGCCCGAGGTGTGATGTTCTCATCACGAAGTCTCTTGTGGACCTGCAGTACCATGTCGATCTCATTGACTGGCCAATCTTCTGAAGTGACGGGAAACGGTAACATGGCCAAATAACCCAGCTCATCACGTTGAACTCTGTGCACTTCTAACGATGGCTCGCTTGCGGCAAAAAGTTGCTGTGTGGGAATGGGTTCTTTTTCCAGCTCTGCGTTTCTTTCCACAAGCTTTGCGTTTCTTGCCTTAAGCTCTGCGTTTGCTGTCTTATATCGACCAATCGTTGTCTGACCCTCTTCTAACAATTGCAAGAATTTTTCCGCCTCTTCACGTGTCAGTGACCCAATGTCAATTCCGGCAGACTGGAAATCTAAGGCAGTTGACGGGTATGCTTGAAGGAAAGTTTTCAAGCTCTGGACAGCAGCGGCAGTCGCCTCGGACGATTCTCGGATGGTGATCTTTTTCAGTTTCGCAATTTCTTTGAGTCTTTCATGCTCTTTCTCGTGGGCCTCACATTCCCGCTCATGGCGAAGCGTAGCTTCCCGAATCTCGGTTGCTTCTCGTTTTCTTTCGTTAGGACTCTCGCTGTACACAGACCAGGCCGACTTGGGGACTTTGGCATATTTCTTTTCGTATTTCTGAATCGCATTACTGAAAACATCAAGCTGCCGTTCATCTGTTGCGTGGTGTTGATCAGATAGCCATGTGTGAGGTTCGGGTGCCTGCGGCGCAGGCGAACTTGATGGTGGGGGCGACGAAGACATGTCGTTGGAAGATAAGGGAAAAGAAAGGACAGAAAGGTAGAACAGGTGGACCGTGGAAAAAGCTTCCTTGGAATGCGTGATAGGGAATGAAGACTAGGTGATTGTATAGACGGAAAGTGGATGAGTGGTGAGTCGAAAGAGTTATGTCTCTGTTTCGACGGCCAAGGCTAACATAGAGCGGGTTAGGACAAAGTGGGATACTGGTACGGTAGCAGTAAGGTATAATCAAAACCAAGTCCTGTTGCTCTATACTAACAACTTCAGCTTGCTTGTATGGTTCCTAAATTTCTAGGTTCACTCATATACACTGTTCGTTAGACTATTACTCGCAATCACATCTATACAATGTCTTCCCAATCCACCGACGATACGCTGCGCCACGACCTTGACACTCTCCATAAGCAAACACAGCATCTTCTGTGTGAGACCCAGCAACTCGCTAGGCGCAAGTTGCCCGTGCAGAAACAGTTGACAACAGTAACGGCGCCATTGGAATGGGATCCGAGGACCGGACCTGATACAGCGTTCCAACGAGATCTGTTGTGGTGGTATAACCAATTCGGAATCCGAGGTATCCAGAGTTTCCTTGTCGAGTGGGCGGATGATATGTACATGAAGACATCCCAGAAGCAATTTGAGCAATTGAAAGATGAAATTGGCCCTCTGATTCCCTCATACTTAGCCTCCCTGCCGCCTGCACTGATTCAGGCCGTAATCTGCAACAACATACCTTCAAGAATGAAAGATCCGGAGTTCAAGAAACATGTTGAAGATTGGGTGCGGTGTGAACACAAGCTGGGCCCCGGCGTGTATGAGATTTCGGTGGCACACAAGGAGACCGGTCTTGGTCCGACCTTGAGACAGCTCGTCGACATATCGAATACCATGAGCAGATACATTGATCTCGAGGATACAGCATTTATCAGCACGGCGCGCACTATTGACAATCAGTACCCACAGAAATGGGGCATCCGGGACGACTACACTGTCAAGAGGCGATACTCCAGAGTCCTGAAGAACGGGACACACGATTTTAAAGCCATCAGAAATTGGCTCGAGATCCTTGAGCAAGAATACCTCCACCTGACGAAATCTCTACCACAAGATCACCCCTATTGGGACACCGGAATGTCCAGGCTCTTCACCTATATTGGTTGGGCCAAGAACCTTGACGAAAGGTCGCACAAGCATACGACACATTATGGACTTGAGAGCATTGTTTTCGGCCTCTTCTCAGCAGTCGTCAAATACCTGTTCGGGCTTGAATTCCAGATAACCCGGACCGTCTTGTTCTATGCAACTTCGGGCGTACATGCAGGCATTACAGAGATTTTAGGGCACGCAATGGCCTCCGGTTACCTAGAGCTAGGCGGGTTCAACCACTCGTGGGCAGGTGGCCGAGGAAGCGGTGCAGGTCTAGACACTGAAGAAGTCACACAGCAAGTTGACCTGCATAAGGAAATGATTCTCAAGAGTGGCCACGTCGAGGAGAACCTGATGCAGAACGACGAAAAGCTCGAGCGCCTGACCTTTGCATGTGACGAGGATGCGCAAGAGCAGCTCTGGTCAGAAACGGCTGAGGCACAGATAAAATGCCTTCAGCGTGCGGAAGAGTCTGAGAAAAGCGTGGAGAAAACTCACACAAGTGTTTTGTTGGCAGACTTTCAAGTAAAACTTGAACTTGCAGCACACAAGAACAGAATGACTGCAGACGAAGATGCATCTTGAGAAAACACGTCCGACCCTCGAGGTTGGGACGAGCAATACACCAGGCTTTAGGGCCATGGTGAGAAGACCGTCTCACGAAGGTGAGTACGAGAACAACGTCCACCGCGAGTGAGACGAGACCAGAGGGAATGTTGTTGCAGATGAAAGGGAGAGAGACACGTCCCGCCTACGGGTGAGAGGATGAGAAGACCGTCCCACTTACGAGTGAGGATGAGAAGCACGTCCAGCCTTCGGGCGAGGACGAGAAGCACGTTCAGCCTCCGGGCGAGGACGAGAAGCACGTTCAGCCTCCGGGCGAGGACGAGAACAACGCGCTATCCGATAGTGCGAGGGGAGCGACCTGAGGAGACATGAGCATCCGATGTGTGCATTCAAGACAACCAGGATTTGTGTGCATTCGACAACCAGGATTTGTGTGCATTCGACAACCAGCATATGTGTGCATTCGACAACCAGCATGTGTGCAAACGAGTATGGAGCCGGATGAATTACTTTCGTACCATGTACTACCAGCTACTCGGCAGATACCACCATTTTATCGAACTAGCATAGGGACAAGTTACAACTGAAGTCCGAGAGGCAATCAAACAGTACTCATCAGCTGCAACGAGAGTATGAATCAAGAGAAAACTTCAGCGTCAGTGTGTGCACCGGACGGAGACGACAAACGCGGACAGAACACAAGGAGTACAACCAAGTGACGAAAATGTACAAGAGGATCAGCAGCAATCATAAATGTACGAAGTACAGCCATCCAAAGCGCAGCTACTCTAAAGTCCAGCATCAGAAGCACCGCCATTTCATGGATAGCTGACCGGGCGCAACCAATCTGAAGCACTACCATCACAATGACACATACCCAATGCACTGCGTCTAAGGCATTGCGAGCTGAGTACAACCATCTAAAGCATTGCCATCTATTCAAAGCACTCCGAAACGAAGCGCGGCCGTCTGAAGCGCACTATTAGACGCAGCCATTCGAGGCACGACCATCTGTCGGAGCCACCACCCTTTGAGGCGCGGCCAACTGAAGCGCAGGCATGTGTAGCACCGCCGTCCGAAACGCAGCCTGGCAGCCATCTGAAGTGACCGATCAGAAACGCAAAAGACCTTATAGTATGGAGGTATTTGGGCCAGGTAAGTGACAGTGGTGCCAAGAGTAACTCAGACCCCCTAAAAGCACAGCGAAACTCGGATACATACGAAGACGTCGGATTTGATCTCTGTATGGCAGAAGATCACCCATCAAAGGTTCAAGTCATTGTTAGCGAGCATTGCAGGCTTGCTACGGCTAACAACTGTCTAGGCAAGAAGAGCAGAGAGGAACGGCAAAGCATCATAACTGGTGACATCAGCCAGGCCTCAGTGCACAAGGGGCAGGCCAAGGTGAGTTCTACAGTCCTTTTATTTTCTGCGATTCTCTAGCAAACCCAATCTCTCCAGCTCTCAAGCAGTCATCCATACATACTGTATTCCCGTCCACAAGCTGCTGTGATTGTCCGGGTTCAGGCATGCGGCTGGGCGGCATTCGTTGGCAAGGGGTTGTGCAATGATGATGGCATCTTATGTAGGGTAGAAGGCGCTCCGGGTATGCTTCAGTTGAACTGGGAAACTCATCAGTCATGGCAATGAAGTAGCTAGGTAGGCATGTCTCACCAGTTTCAGCGCGGGTTGAACATCATACAACACCAAGCAGTAGTACGGATCGATGGGTACCATGGAGCAGGGTAGTAGGGCTGTAACGCACACCATATGGCCGATCCGCTGCTCCAGTAGAGCTAAGATCAGGAATCAAGTATGCGCTGGTGGACGGCCGTTCGCAGTTGCGACATAGTGACCCCATGTGATAAGTTCCTTGGTGCAATCATCCTGATCTATGATGCATTCGATCAGGGTTGGGCCTTCTGAATTGGATTTAGCAAGCTTGATGGCCTGAGCGAGTTGCTCTGGGTTTGAGGCTTTGATGCCCTTGGCATGACCATCTCCGGCATTGAATACCTCCATCATTGCTGCATAGTTCCAGTTTTTGATACGGTTATATAGCCCGTCGTGAATTTCCACTTCAATGGTATACCCGCCATTATTCATGAGAAAGATAATGATCGGCACCTTTGAGCGCACCATTTGTGACACCTCTTGAGCGGTCATCTGAAACGAGCCATCGCCGATCATCAGAAGAACTTGGCGCTCCGGTGCACCAACGGCATAACCAAAGGACGCTGGTACAGACCAGCCAATGTGGCCCCATTGCATCTCGATCTCGAAGCGACAGTCCCGAGGTAGATTCATCTGCATAGCGTTGAACCAGGAATCGCCAGTCTCAGCAAACAGAGTAGTCTTGGGGTGGAGTAACTCTTGTATCTGACGTGCAATTTCGACGCGGTGTAAAGGTAATTTTGGCTGTTCGTGATGCGGGGGAAGTATATCAGGACGTAGACGAGCATATTCAACCATGGTGCTGGGATTAGGTGTAGCCTCCTTAGCAAGGGCCGACAAAAGGTCGGCCAAACGAACGCGGTTGAATGTCGCGCCCGGAAAGCTCATATTGTCCAGATCCGCGTTCAAGGTTATTGATTCTGAAGGAATTGCCGTCCATCCCACGGTACTGTAGTCCGTGAACACGAGGCCTGCGCCAAAAATCCCATCTGCCCAGTCGACAATGGCGTCTGCTCCCATAGTACTGGCCTGGCCCCAGTAGACGCCAACAAATTGCTTGTGGTCCTCGGGAAAAAAGCTCTTGGCCCCAGGCATAACCGCGACCGCACATCCTATGGCCTCAGCCAGTTGCAGAAAGCCTGCTTCTCCCCCCGCGGCTCGTAGCTTGGGGCCAGCCAGCAGTATGGGCTTCTGCTTCGCTTTGAGCCAATTCGTTGCAGCATGGACGGCAGCTGCCAATGTTGGCTCATCGCTTGGTTCCGGCGCGATGACAGCGGATATTGGGCCCGGCGCCGGACAGGTGACGTTGGAGAGATTTGTTGGAATCTCGATATAGCTTGGTTTCTTGGCCAAGAGGGCGCTGCGGATTGCATGATCGATTAGGCGAGGCGCGTCCTGGGCGCGACGAACCGCAACCGCAGCGCAAGTGATCTTCTCGGCAATCTGACGCTGGTATTCAAAGTCGTGGGTTCCGAGCGTGTGGTGGAGCAGATGGAAGGCGCCGGCGTCGTTGGTGTTGGGCGAGCCGCTAATGAGTATGACAGGTAGATTCTCTGCGTACGCCCCACCAAGTCCGTTGAAAGCAGAGAATGCGCCTACACTGAAGGTCACCACTGCTGCAGCAACACCTTTTGCTCGTGCATAGCCTTCGGCTGCAAAGGAGCAATTCAGCTCATTGGCACATCCGATTTCTGAAAGCTTTGGATGGGCCTGCAACTGGTCTAGCAAGACAAGATTGTAGTCGCCAGGGACGACAAAGTGGTGCTCGATTCCAATCTGAGACAGCCGTTCGGCGAGGTAACTACCTACGGTCCACGACATAATGATAGTCACGTTTGGGCAAATCGAGTGCCATGGTTGTTGATGTTGTCGCTTTATAGAGGTTATGAAAGGCTTCCGCGGGGCTCCGGTCATCCGGTCAGAAGATGTCGCGCAACTTCTCAGAGTGTGTCTTGAAAAGGTCATAGAAGGCACACTCATACAACGCATTCCGAAGAACGCCGTATAAGTGACGCATCGTATGCATGATTCTGGAGTGATTTTATGGAGCTCAAAAGTGTATTACCCAGCTAGTATTTGTTCTTTTATCGTGCAAGCGAAAAATAACCTGATAATTGTCTGACCATAGGGGCCCATTACGATGAACCTTCTGCCTCTTGACATCCTGACCTGACTTTTGCATAACCGTTGCAAAATTGTCTTGCTGTACCCTTGTAAATGTTGATCCATATAAAGATTTTAGCCGAACAAACGTCGAACCATAGCTATGTTTGGCTTGCCGATCACCGAACTCTAACTTCCACGGCATATGATCAATCGTTACGATATCCGGTCAGATCCGGTCCAAATATTAGTCTTTCCCCAACGGTATCAAAACAGCCGACACACACAGTTGACTCGAGTAGATCTTGCTTGTTGGGAAGTCTTAGTATGCCCTCTAGCGGGGAGAAAGAGGCACCACTAATCTAGCCTTGATTCTGCTCGAGATTGTCCTGTAATAGTATGCTATGTACATTTGCCGGTATCTACTACACCTTCATGTCGGGATTTGGTTTACCCCCGGCAAAGTCGACGATATTCTGCAAAGTGGTCTGAGCAATGGCGCTTAAGGCTTCTTGGGTAAAGAACGCCTGATGTCCCGTCACCAAGACGTTTGGAAAAGTGATCAGGCGCTGGAATGTATCATCCTGAACCACTGTACTTGACAAGTTGCGGAAGAATAGGCTCGATTCCTCCTCATAGACGTCAATTGCGCAGCCGGCGATGGCACCATTCTGGAGCGCAGCAATAAGGGCTGTGGTGTCGATCAAGCCTCCTCGGCTGGTATTCACAAGAAGTAACCCCGGCTTGGCCCAGGACAGAGTCTCGGCATTGACAATATGGTGTGTCTCGGGACTGAGCGGACAGTGTAGGCAAAGGATGTCGGACGTGGAGAAGAGTTCTCGACGATCAACATATCGAACACCGAGAGATTCCAGGTGGTTGTTGTGGACAACGTCACTTGCAATCACATCACATCCGAACCCAAGTTTGAAAGCCTTTGCCACTAGACTGCCAATACGTCCGGTCCCTAGGATTCCAACCACCTTGCCGTGCAGGTCACGTCCCAGGAGTCCGTCGAGAGAGAAATTGTCCAGGCGAATGCGAAGCCACGCGCGACATAGTTTGCGGTCAAGGGCCAGAAGCAGGCCGACAGTGAACTCGGCGACTGAATATGGAGAATAAGCTGGAACTCGGAGCACGGTGATCCCAAGGCTGGTCGCAGCCTTAGTGTCGACATTGTTGTACCCAGCACAGCGCAGTGTAACTAATTTGATTCCCGCTTTCGCCAACTTTTCCAATACCGGTGCGTCAACTTGATCATTCACAAACACGCATACTGCATCGCACCCGGTAGCCAAGACAGCAGTCTTCTCGTTGAGGATCACATCGTGGAAGTCGAACTCAATGTTGAAACCTTGTTGCCGGTTCGCGCTCTCTAGCGATACTTGATCGTAGTCATGGGTGCTGAATACGACGACTTTCATTTTCGTTCTAGGGCGAGATGAGCCTGGCGATAGTGTATGAGCAAATGGAAGATATACTATAGTAAATTCTGTAACAAAGTCTGTAGTCAAGTTGACTTGAAGTCATGAAAAGCCACTGTTTATTGTCCCTCACTTACTACAGCATGTGAGTACTCTCCCAAGGGTATTTCCAAACACTTCCGATCTTATCCGCTACAAGAGCCCCACGTACACAACGAAAACTCTATTTTGTTACGACAAGTCACCTGTAGGGATACAGACTGTCGTCTGTAACAGTCTCTGCCAGTTTCCGAGCTACCATGTAAGGTGAAGTGGCATGATGTTATTTGGGCCCTCCACCGGAGACTGCGGCTGGCGGAAAGCATCGGACTCTATCATCGAATGGCCCACGATCCATTGATCTCTGACGTACACCGAGTGTGACAGGATCAGTCGACCATCAGGACACCCTCAGAAACGACCTGTTGCTCTAGCGCTGTGAAAGTTGATAGTCCACTGAATATTTATGACGTTCTCTTTCTTCAGGTACAAGTATTTATGGTGTAACTCTGACGCTGAAGTAAAGCAATACTGTCATTGACTACATCGTTGTATGATAGCATTAATGGCGAACCCGAAGAAGAACCTGCCTAAAAAGGGCATTCAAAGTCGCAATCTTGAGGTATGTGGCATCTGTTAAGAATTCATAACGTCGATTATGTGCTAAAAAAGATCTAGCCAGTGAAAGTTGCTATTGTTGGAGTCGGCAATGTTGGCGCCTCTACAGCTTATGGACTCCTCCTTAGCGGACTGGCCGCCGAGATTGTATTAATTGATGTGAATAAGAAGAAGGCAGAGGGAGAGGCTATGGACCTGAGCCACGCCGCACCTTTCTCACACCAAACTCATATTTGGGCGGGTGACTATACCGACTGTGCTGGCGCGTCTATCGTGATCATCACAGCTGGTATCAACCAACAACCGGGACAAACACGAATGGATCTGGTCAAGGCCAACGTTTCAGTCTTTCGAGAATTGATTCCACAAATTGCTTCTCATGCACCAGACACTATATTAGTGGTGGCAACAAACCCTGTCGATGTACTTACTTATGCTGCGTGGAAACTCTCCGGATTCCCTCTTCATCGTGTCCTGGGTTCTGGAACGACTCTTGACACTGCTCGGTTCCGCTTCGAACTCGGCAACTATTTCAAGATCGACCCACAGAGCGTCCACGCGGATATTATCGGTGAACATGGAGATACAGAGTTGCCGGTATGGTCGCTTGCGAGCATTTCCGGGATGCATCTCAGAGCCTATTGTCGGCAAGCTTCCCGCGAGTACGATGAGAATGCCATGAATCAATGTTTTTTGGCGACGAAGAACGCCGCCTATGATATCATCCAGCGGAAAGGATGGACTGATAAAGGCGTGGCTACTGCGCTCGTCCGCATTGTCGAGACCATTCTGAGGGACGAGGATACAATTCTGACGGTTTCCACGCCCAGAGACTATCCTGGCACTGGCGTTACGGCGTTCAGTGTACCGTCGAAGATCACCCGAGATGGTGTGTTCCAAACCTTTGATCTGTTACTCAACCCGGAAGAAGAAGCCAAACTAAGAGAATCAGCCAAAAGCATAAGTGCTGTGATCGGCTCTCTATCCTTATGATAAACTTATCTATCCTACCGATCTGGATTTCACAGAGTCGGGGCTCGTCGCGAAGAGATGGGCGGCTTTCGAACGCATATTACGCACTCCTGACTAGCGGTGGGGCCTCGATATAGTCTGTTCAATAACGCTTGCAAATATATGTTATGGTGCAAGAGGGGCTAATGTCGGCACTTCAAAGAGTTTGGGTATAGTTTTAGCTTAGGTTGGAACACTAAGCAGCAGTAGATCCTCACTCTTTCTTGGTGGTCGACGAGTTGCCAAGTCCGCAGACTAGTGTGAACGTTCTTTACGAACGACAACGCGCATCATCTCCAAGAACTCATCATCTCAAAGAGTAGCGTTGGCAAACTGTGTGCGTTCTTCTCGAACATGCTTGATTTCGCTCTTCATATCATCTAGCTCCTTGCGCAGCCGTTCTATCTTGTCTTTGGGACGCATGTTTCGTTCAGCAGCCTATCCAACCGTCTCTGGGGCAGCTCTTCCCTTTCCAAATACATGCCCACCATTGATTATTTCCTGCAGTGTTAGCCTTGGTGAGAAATATCATTCCGTATGCACTTGGGTGGCCCCCAGTGTCTACCTCAAGTGGGACCCCAGCCTTTAATTTATCAACCTCGATAACTGGATGAGATACTGGTTGCTTGGGCCTGGAGCATTGTACGACGACCATCTGGGCCGTTGTCGGATGCTCAATTTCAAGAAAGAGCTCCTTGTCGTGAAAATTGATTCTTCGGCTCGTGTTGTTCCAATGTGGCATGCTGATCTGTTCATTCATACTACACTCGAACAATATATCGCAGAGCTGAGCTTCATGATCCTTCACGACTGGAGCAGCTGGTGGAGGCTGCTTGGAATCGAGACTCATAGAAGATCCGGACTGTTCTAGGTGTATCTCTTGAGGTGAGTATTGGCCCTGATGGCGACTTTGGAGACTCGAAGCAGAGCCGGATGTGCTGTTCGCCACTGAGAAGCTATTGTCGTGGAAACTGTTCGGAGTTACATGCAATGCCGTCAATCCTGGAGTTTGACTTCGTGAAGACAAGTTCACCGCTTTTGCTGTTGACCTATACACAAATTTTTGAGGTCCATCATTTCCGCCCGAGTCCGGCAAGCTCAAAGTGGCATCAAGTTGCCTGTCAAGATCAGGGGTCACTGCACTGGGCGGAACGGCCTGTAAGTGAGGTGGCGTTAACCTGGCATGACTGGTAGGTATTGTTTGAAACACAGCCAGATCCAGTTGTGAGAAGGCCTGCCAGCTCATGGCTGGGTCCAAACGTGGTCCTTGAGGCACTGTCACTGGCTTTTGGAGCTCGCAATTCATACTCTTGATAATACCCCGGTATTGGCAGACATGACCGTGGCTGAATCGATTAAGATCTGGGATGGTCCATCGAGGAGTCAATTTTCCGTGGGTTCGGGGAACAAAATATTGACCATGTCGATTGATGAACAGCTCACAGAGATAGCACGGAGCTTTACTAGAGCCGATCACCCGTGGTTTATGCCATCCTGAGGTCTGCCTAATGTCAAACTCTACCACCAGCTGCACTTCGGCATGGACGCGACACGCTTCACTACCGCCATCGACGGCAGGAATGGGTGACTGGATTGTTCTGTAGCCTGGCAGATATCGGATACCGAGGTTGACGCACAAGGGGCGAAATCTATGGTGGGTGGCCAGCAGAGCCAACATCTCGGCAATGTGACATAGCGTGGCGATTTTCCCGACCTGTCGGAGGTGGGGATTTCCTCGCGACTCATCCATATCGACACCTCCCCGATCAAGCATATTTTTCATACATTCTCCAGTTGGGGCGAGTTCAAAGAAGTCGTAGCACGCACGCACGACTTTCTTGATGTCCTCGATCGTCCGGGATTTCTCGATTTGGTTGCAGTACTGACTCAAAGCCTCGCACAGAATTGCAAGGCGGCTAAACAATAGGGAGTGCTGTGGAGATTCCGAGTCCTCTGCCAAGCTCAGCAATATATTCTCCAGGCCTTGCTGAACAAGATAGCGAGATTTTTTGGTTTGGAGGCGGGCCTTAATGCGCGGACGGTGAAGCTGTACCAGTAAAGTCAAAATATCATCTTTGCATTGAAAGGTCGTCTTTTCTGGAAGCCCGTGAGGGTTCGTTCCTACATCCCATTATATCGTTTATCAACTAACCTCCGCGCGCTACATGACTCACGCTTGTAATTATCTCATCTAAACAGTCCTTCACAGCTTGAGAGACATCTTCGTTGGCAGCAAGATTCAGTCTCAATCCATCTGATGGATTCCGTGGTGTTTCGATTGCAACCGCGGACACAAATTCCACACCTTTCTTGGCCGCGGCGATGAACGCGATGCCATTCGTGATTTGTACCTCAAGTGCAACCGGCAGCAAGCCGTCGTCGGGCGTTTTTTGCAATGCAAGGGAATAGCATTGCGGGTCTTTCGGCCGACCCCGTGTAGCTTTCCAGAGTGTGCTAATGCTGCGCTGAAATTGCGCTTCTCCTAAAGGCGACCAGATCGACATCGTCCGGGAGGCGGTCCGAGGATTCAGTGCCCGGGAAGCCATCACAACTATGTGATGATGATGATGATGGTAATGATGATGATGATGATATAGGTTGATTAGTCACACGTGGGTTGAACTCTAGATCTCCATCAAATGCGTTGGCATAGCCAACCACGTGATCGGAAGAGCTTCCTATCCAATTGAACCTTTTCCGCCCCCTGTACTGCGCATCATTCATTTTCCTAATGCAAGAAATTCCGTGCTGTAGCCTGAATCATCAATCAAGCCTCGCTCTACATCTGAAAGATGCCTGACTCTCCTTAAGGCCCCAATCAAAGTCCTTCTGTCGCCGACAATCGTCTTAAGACCAAATAGGCTTCCATTCGCAAACAAAACAACCACCGGCCCTTACACGATGCGAAATGCCGTATAAACAATGGGCAGATAACAACACGATACATGCTAAGCTGATAGGAGAAGATATCATTGGCATATACCTCTTAACAGAGCCCTTGTGGCATTCATACCAGACGACTGAGGATGATGCACCTAAACTGCGGCGATCATAAGGTAGCCTTACATTTTAGCCAGCGATTAATATAGGCCCTAACATAACTCCACCATTCCCCTAATACCTCCGCTAACCTGATGTTGGCGGAGAACAAGACTAGGACAAAACGAATCAATGGTGCCCCATAGCCACGGCTCACAACCTATTAGGCGTTGCGGGGAAGAACAGGGCGGAATAGAAAACAGCAACTGAGTCAGACAATGCTGACGATGGTTTTCGTACCGGGCGGGTAGCCCATCAGCTTCACAGGTTTCCGAATCTGGGCGCCAGTAGAGCTTGCCACAACAAAACGTGCCATTCAGCACGGTCGATAGGCGAGTCGGAGTGTCCTCTAAGCTACGTTTCCGAACGATGGTCTTGGCTCTGAACTAGGGTTTATTCTCCTAAATGACAAACTTGAAACCCATCAAGGCTTCGGTTCCGATCCGCAAATAACAAACAGCGAATTGAAGTTGGTGGTCCAAGTTCGTGGACTACCAGTCCCCATATTTCCCCGGGCTTCTGGGGCCTAGCGGTTAGGCAGATAACCCCGGCTGGAGGAGCGGGTCTGCGCGGGGCCAGGACTCTCATAATTCTTATGAAGATGAAAAGTTCCCGTGCGTCTGGCTTCTGCTCAACAAATCTGCTCTTGCAACCCCCGAAAGTACATGGCGCCTTTTGCTGAGCTCAAAAAGATGACAAACAACACGAAGTCCCGTGTGAGCGCGGGCTCCGAGTCTACGAGGCGCAACGAGAATTCAGAAACGAGAAGATTGCGCAACCGTATCTCTCAAAAGGCTTTTCGTGCTCGGCAGGCAATGCGGATGAAAGAACTCGAAGAGCGTCTTAATATTGGCTCCTGTGGTGACACTGAATGGGTGACTCGCCTGCAGAACCAGAACGCAGCCTTGCGTGACCAACTTCTCGATTGTCATAAGAAGATCACCAGTCTACAAGTTTCTATGCAGGGTCTCGCTGACGCCAGCGCAATCGCACTGGGTATTGAAAGCCTCGACAGGATCAGTGAGGTGTGTGTTACCAAAACTCAAATGATTGTCAGCCGGCTAATGGTGTCCGCAAGCCCGAGCCCGCATCCACTACACTGTGCGCACGTTGCAAGGCAGCGGTAGCTGGACAAGCCGGAGTTGTTCTTGAGTCTGCGCCCCCAGCACATCCAAATGATGCCAATAGTCACAACGCACCATTCGAGTTGAGCAATGATCATGGCCGGGAGCTGTCCAGCAACTCCAGTGATAGCAATGACGATACAAATGCTGGTGGTTGTCGGGTTAACGATCATGGACAAGAAGTTGCTCAGGATTCGGTTCAGGACGGTTCGAACAGGTCGCTAGTGGAGCTTGAGCAGCCAGGAGAAAACCAGTCGCCACCTGTTATCAACCTGGATTATTTCTCCACTGACGACATCTCCAACAAGTTCGACATCTTCAGCAGTCAACAGCAGGTTGTCCACAAATCTACATACTTTCCTAGTCCAATTTCGTTGGATTTGTTATTCACTGAAGATCTTGGGCCTCTCAAGTACAGCAACATCTTGGAGACGTGCCCTTCTCTCGCACACCGATCAATTAAGGTGAGAAGGACAAATTCGCTTTTCTCCGACCATATTGACGCGTTGGAACAATGGGTTGGCTGGAGTTATTCAAGATGGACCAAATCACCCATACTAGACGAACAGTAGGTGTTTTCACTGGTCCCTATGCGCACGACAAGAAGCAATATCTGACAAGCTCTCTAGCCTTACCAGCCCTCTCACATTGATCTTGTTGACCTTTGTCAGTATATCATGGAGGTCAATGACCGCGTGGCATACCTACACCAAGGCACATGTACACCTGAAAAACCTCATGGTATGGCGAATCTACAAAACGCCAGACACGTATCTAAAAGTCGTACCGTCATACCGGCCGACAAAGTTGCAGAGGCGCGTACCGCACCCCAGCATCATTGACTGGATTCCCTGGCCGCAACTGCGGGACAAAGTTATTCTCCATCATTCTGCAAACCCATGTCTGGACAGCATCATCTGTGATATCGGCAATTCTTACGTTATGCCGGCGGACCTTTCTGCATTGATAAGATGCCCGCAGTCCGTCCTTGGCTACGTGGGTGTCTGGGACCTAGTGCGAGCAATGGCCCCGGAGGCTACAGGATCGCCCAAACCTCAGTCTGACCATAACGACTTGGAAGCATCTGAGAACTTGACTCTCCCAGCGCGAAATGCCAACAGCCTATTCTCCTCACAAGATTTAGCTGCGCAAGCTTTCAAACTTTTGGGGACGGACAAAGGACCGTTCAATTTCCGACTTGATCCTGCCTTTTTCGGGAGACATCCTGAACTATACGACCCCGATTCTGACCTGATGGCCCTTGGAGTAGCGTTGCGACCTTGTAGCCAGTCTTCAGTCCCAGTACCCCGTAATTTAGATCTTTCGGTGGTGGCTCAGTACCAGGAGATGTCGAGGTATCTTATTGATTTGGCTCTGGAGTCTGGTCAATACTCACGAGTGTTTTGATAGACTCTCTCGTTCAGTGAAAGTGAAGTGTATGGAACGAGGTTTATAGCTTTAATTCAAACCTGTCTTCATTAGATCCGTGATTGTTTGCCATCTGCTTAGGAGCATTGTCCATATTCCGTGTCCTGTAAATCACGAGTAACCCATGCCGAAGTCCATCTCTGACTATGTAATCTTAAATCTGTTCTGCTCCGAGGGGATTGGATTCTTAGCAAGCAAATGCCGACACGGTCCATGTATTTAGTATATCTATGCTGCACTCCTACGTCTTCTCTCGAGCAGCATATTCGGATTTGAACACACGACAATTGCTTTTCACTCTCCACAACTCTTCAACCAGTGATTCAACATGGTGCCAGTAGCCATTGTTCATGCTCAAAATGGAAACATCACAGAGAGCCTCCATGACGAAGCGGAGAAACAATCCGGCATCCGTACCTTGAATAATCCAATCAAGAAAGGCTACCCAAGATGGCGCCTCTAAAAGCTGTTCTATGTTTGGATCTCGGCTTCGATGACGGTCCTGTCTACCTTGATGCACAACCTAAACTTGTCCGCGAAGTCGATTGCGAACCAAACTGCAGCTTTAAAGTCAAGCCCGAAGACATTCGGCAGTTCGTTGAAGGCAAGCTAGAGCCACGATACGGCCTGTTCAAAGAGGGGTTTTTGACGAGTCGACCCTGCCACAGGAGAGATAAAAGTGGCAGTAAAGCTCGCCGACTTCCTGTGCCCAAATGTTCCGGTTCACCCCCAGATTCCTATAGGCTGCAAGCTCCCAAGTCCCACAGAAGACCTGGACCAGGTCATGGCTGATATACGCCAATTTGGATATAGGTTGGTGCAGAATGCCCTCAGCCCGGAGCAGATTCAGACATTGAAATCAGCAGTCGAGCAACAAGGTCGCGGGGAGGCTGAGGCTGGTGTGGCGAAGAAAGATGGGGGCCCGCACGCCCCTAACCAGCGCATATGGTCACTCATCAACAAGGGAAAGGAGTTTCATGACCTCCTTGAACATCCACTTGTCGATGAGGTGGTCCCCGAGCTGCTTGGTGACCATGCTCTTCTTCACAGCTACAGCGCCAACATTGCCCGGCCAGGAAATGTCCCTATGATGCTTCACACCGATCAGGTAGCCATACAACCTCCACTGAGGAGCCTCTTTTATGGTCTGAACATCATGTGGTTTTTAACCGACATTACCAGAGAAAACGGCGGCACACGAATTTTCCCAGGAAGCCATGTTGGTGACGTTGCACCCGATGACCCTTTCAATATTGACGGAACCGTTGCAGCCGAAGGACCTGCTGGAACCGCCTTGGTATTTGAGAGCCGTCTATGGTATGCCACAGGGCCTAACGAGATGACCACGGGTGAACGTCCCGTTATACTCATGTTCTTCATGAGGTCTTTCATCCGCCAGCAAGAGAATAATTTCCTGTCAATAAGGCCTGAAGTAGAGGCAACAATGTCTGATAAAGTGCGGAGGCTTTTGGGATATTGCACTACCGGAGCGCTGGGAGGTGTGGAGGGTGAAGTACGAGAGGGTATCTATGTGGAAAGGGTGAATAATCCAATTGGGCCTTTCAGGGACACACACAAGCATACACCGTACAGACAAGGCTTGTACACTGCTGGGTAATTAGTTGTACCCGGTATATGAGTTGCTACAGTGTACATGTTGCCAACAGTGGAATGTAGCCGCTGTAAAACTTTCAGGACAATGTCACACAATAACAGCAACTTACTACGGTGGTTTACTTGCAGTCACCACAAATGACCTCTCCTCATATGAGCGAAACCAACAGACAACTCGCAATGATTACCCCATCCAAAAATGCAGCTCTATGAGCTGGAGTTGTGGCTTACGACAGTCAGTGGGAAGGAACCAGAGACGCACAGTATAGAGGGGGGATGCTACTGCTCTTCCTCGTTTTCGAACGTTCGTTGTCTGGTCAGCAAGGAGGGGGTCGAAATTGCGGGGCCCCACACATGCATATGGAACATTTGTGGAGATTAATTGTCAGCTCCTGCTGACAGACCGTCCTCAAGGCCGTTCAGTGTTTGCATCCTTCCTAGGCGAGTGTCAACTACTGACAATGTTGATTTGTCGGCACAAATTTTAGCGAGGTTACGGAGATCCCGCCGATTATCAACAAGACTCAAAGGCCAGGAAAGAACATCTCCAGAGCGGCTACTAAAGGGGTAAGTTCCTTGTTTTTTTATGTAGATAAGAATGACGAAGCTTGGTCTCCATACCGAAGAGGTGGCTGCTGCGATGGCCACCCTTCCCGTCTCGTGCAATCAAATCAAGCCTTTTGGTAGCTAGAACTTCAAGATATTGGTATTTATTCTCTCAGACCACAGTATTCTCTTTATAGTATGGTCTCGGGACATTGTCGTAATATGGAACCACAATCCAATCTTTATCTGTAGTCTTTCCAACCATCCCCTGAGTGGCCAGTGTAATTGGATTCCTTGAGATGATGGCATTCAACAAACCAGGTCCTTTCGTGGCAGTGAGTTGTTTCACTGCACTTTGGACTTCCTCGATGCTGGTCTGTGTAATAGTACCCTTGCATCCAAAGCCTTGCGCAACAATGTCGAACCGGCAATTATGCGACAGAGTGCTCGCCACTCGTGCCGGATCTTCGTCTCCGTAAATCAAATCTTGCCCAGCCACGCTCATGCCCCAGTAGTAGTTGTTCATGATTACAGTTAGGACGTTGAGTCCGTGGCGGGCAAATGTGTCAAGTTCTTGAATGTGAAAGCCCGCCGAGCCATCGCCGTGGATGTTGACAATCAACCGGTCCGGTGCGGCCAGTGCTGCGCCGATACTGTAACCCCAACCGTTTCCCAAGAACCCTAGGTAGCCCGTGGAAACCATTCCCCCACCCGGACGAGCATGCTCGAGTAATTCAGCTGCCCAGACTCCAATCTCACCACCATCAATAATCACAATACTGCCCTCAGGAAGGGCCTCGTAAATGGCTTTCATGGTGAAAAATGGGTGTAGCCTCCCTCCTGGCAACCGAACCTCGTCATCAGCGTATATCGATTTTTGATTCTTGAGGGCTTGAATGTCTTGAAGCCAGCCATTTTGAGGTTTGATGGGGTTGTTGACACGGAGTTTATCCAGCAAGGCGACAATAAATTTGTTGGCATCTGACACGATGCCCAGGTCAATGGCAGTGGACTTGCCGATTTCGGTTGCATCGATGTCAACCTGGGCAACAGTACATCCCGAGCTAGGGATAATGGCACCTGACCTGCCACCTAGTAGAAAGCCTGTACGAGCACCCAATAGGATCACGAGATCTGGTTGATTCTTCTGGATCGATGGAAGGAGGGCAAGTTGCCCGGCATAGCCGCCCCGGAATGGAGAATCAAATGGAAGAGCCGGGATATATTTCTGAGAGTAGAAGATGGGGGTGCTAGTTTTCTCAGCAAGGTCGAGAAGCAAGCTGGTTTTGGACTCTCTGCTCGTTGTGCGTGCAGCACCAGTGCCGACGATGATAACGGGCCGGGAAGCCGACTGCCAGATATCAAGAAGCTCGTCCAGAGCGGATGGATCCGGATAGGGTGAAATGGCCGGACTGCAGGTGAGAGATCCGTAAGAAAGCGCGTTCATCCGAGGAGGGTGGAAGAGGACATCGATTGGAAAGTCAATGACAACTGGGCCTGGAACACCTCCAATGGCGGTGCGATATGCATGGCTGATGATCCGTGGTATTTCTTCGACATCTAGCAGATCAGTGACGTTAGCTTTGTCTCCCGAATCGACATGAATTCTTTCTTGAATAGCAGCATTTTCCTCTGGCACGTTTGGAAGGAGAAAAGGGGCGATGCTCACTCGTGACCCGGTGGACGAATTTTGTGAGAGGTCTTGCAAGGACGACCTGATCATGAAAGCCTTGAAGGCAATTCGTTTCGGCATCGCGAAGGGGTGGTGACGACGTAATCACAAATATGGGTGAGCGGTCGGCAAAGGCCGTTGCCAGCCCCGGAAGAGCGTTGCTGAAGCTGAAGTGCTGTTATCAGGACAGATACATTTCAAACGTGGCAGAATTCTATCATACCCGCTGTTGGCTGTGACAAAGCAGAAGCCAACTTTTCCAGAGAGTTTAGCATAGGCCTCGGCTGCCTGAACAGCAGTGGTCTCGTGTCTGGTGTCGACAATTTTAATGTTCGCCAGCTCACAACCGACCAAAAAGGCATCCAGATGTCCCCCATGCAGCCCAAAACACACTTCAGCGCCTAGTTGCTTCAATGATTGGGCAACGAGGTCACCACCAAGCAACTCCCGCTTGGGAGGATGCTGCCAATTCATTGTGCCGGCACGATCGTTATTGTTAATTAACTGTTCTGCAAGAAAACAATCCTCTCAAGAATTTCAAGAGAAAGAAAGCCTTGTCGAGGGTTCGCTGTGGTGGCTTTATATGCTGACAAGCAATCCTGCTCAGAATTGAGAACTATCGGCCTGCCTTGACTAGAGGCTCGAACGGATAACCTCGGGCACAGTCGCTGAACACTACAAACCTCTTCTTTCACCTTTCTCTCCTGGAGTCAAAGGACCAATTAGAAGCTAAGGCCTTTGATGCCATTAATGGAGGCTGGGATGAGGACCATAATCCACCTTGCATGAAACTTGAACTGTCACGAAACCCTGACTAACTGCACCGCAAGTTTTGGGCCGAGGTCTCCCCACAGATTAGTTATGGCACCCCGCCGGATAAGGTTTCGAATTATGCGGAGAAATGGTTCATTCATGGAGTTTGCCCTTCCTAGCTTCTTGCAGCCTTCTCGGGTTTGACAAATCGTTGGCTTCAAGTTGTTACTCATGGTATAGAATGTGCACATTGAGTTGAGGACCGTACCTACTAGTAGGTACCTGGTAGGTAGGGAACAGTATTACGAAGTATACCAGGGTATATGCGCTGACCCCCGCATTATTTGATTCCTACTGTACGCAGACTTCCGTCATGGAGGATTGTGGGGTTAAACGGTCCTCAAATCATTTCATTTCTGTACACAGACTCCTGTCCATGACTGCCTCGAACTGCTTCCAAATCAGGCAGGAAAGTAACATATATGGCCGGAAATTTCTAAAACTGGACCAGCTCAAGAAGATAACCATCAGGATCCTCAACAAAACCGACAGCCTGGAGTGATTCATGAAGCTTCCGGCTGCAGATAACATGGTTGCTCAGTGATGCACCCAAGGCTTTCGCGATCTCCTCCTCGCCCTCAATGGAACCAGGCTCTTTCACAATATGGACGTTGTACTCTTTTATGCGGGTCATGCATGCCTCCAGGTTTGGAACTGCGAAACACAGCTTTGCCAAGCCAAGCTCAGGGTGTCGTATCGCATTGGTCGCATAAGGCTTGGAATGCTAGTATCGTGCAAAGGCTCAGCAACTATCTTGGACTTCTCCTTTGTGGCAGGATCTCCATTTCAGCTTCAATGCATCAGAAGACATACCTTGGAATGCACCAACTCCAACACTCCTTCCCGAGCCAGCAATGCCTCACCATCGCTGTCGGCGACATAGCCCAAAAGCACAATAGTTAAATCATCGAAAGGGAGCAGTGTCATCCTCTTCATTCCCAGCACAACCTCGTAGAAAAAGAGTGATTTATCAAGATCTGAGACTCGGATACTGACATGATTGAATTTCCAGCGGTAGGTCTGGCTAGTGTCGTCCGTCATGGCACGAAATAGAGGAGAGCCGATCTGGTTTGAAGGGCAATGGCAACCCAGCTGATACTCATAGAATGTAGCTGAAGGGCTTTATTCGCAGACAATTATTTGGAGGAAGCTTTGTGCTCGGGTGATAGCCAGGACTCAACTCCCCTGAAAGTGCCAGCAATGCACAAGAATTAGTCAGAGATAATACGTCCTAGTGATGGCCTTTTTGTCAAGATTTGCGGGGTATCAAGTTGCCTCTATTCCCTGCCACAACTAGTTAGTGGCATACGGGGTAGAAGAGGGATCCATTAGTAGAGCATACATTCAAGTATATAGTATGCCAGAGCCAGCAGCGTTTAACGAAGACAATTCATACAGAAACGTACACAAGGTCAAATACACCGACTCAAATACACCGACACAAGCCAACTCAAACAATCCCGCGTGTAAAGATGGGTTCGATCCAGCAGAGCGTTTCAAACAATGCCCGAGACACCACTGCGGCAAAGGAGCACCTCAAGGAAGAAGGCTGGTGTGTTATACCGGATGTTCTGACAAAGGACGAAACAAAACATGTTCTGGAGCGTCTCTGGAAAGCCAAAGAGGCCAGCGAGAAACAAGGAGACCCCACTCGACTCGAATTTCTGGATCCGAACCCCAGTAACGTGCGGGTATTCTATTTGATGCAACTGGACGAAATCTTTATGGAACTCATCCAGCACCCTACTGCCATTGATATGGTCCAGTCGGTACTCGGCCCCGAATTCCTTAGTTCAAACTTCACGGCAAACATTGCTCGACCCGGCTCCAAATCCATGGGCCTCCATTCTGATATGTCCCTTGTTGTGCCGGACCCTTGGAAGGAGGTGTGGGCATTAAATGTTATTTGGTGCCTGACAGACGTATACTTTGAGAATGGGGCAACGTTGTACATTCCTGGGAGCAACAAATGGGAATACGAGAGTCAGATACCGCGGAATGCGAAGCAGCTCCTCAAGCCGTTTGAAGCGAAGGCAGGGTCAATTTTGGTCATGGATGGGAGGGTATGGCACACAAGTGGCGCAAACATCTCGCAGGAAGACCGGGCGTTGTTGTTTGGTTACTATACAGCACCCTTTCTGCGCCAGCAAGTCAATTGGAGCGAGAAGCTGGACGCTGCTACGAAAGAAAAGCTGCCCCCACAGATTAAAGAATGGCTCGGCTTGAATGTCAATGCTTATCTCGGGAGAGCGTTGAACCTAAAATATTTGGACGATCAATTTAAGGAGTGAAATATATATAGTAACTTAGTATCCGGAGATCTACTAGACACCAAATATAGCGCCAAGTTTTGGACCCTACTCAAGTACGCATTTCCGTTATCATCCCCATCTTCTAATTTACTCTGCTGCTTCGTACTTATGTTCTGCTCAACCACGATAATACCGCCAACACGCTATGCAGATGGCCGTTGTTATCCAGCCAGAAACTGCCAAACACAGCCACACTGTCATCTTCCTCCATGGCCGAGATAGCAATGCCCAAGAGTTTGCGGACGAATTCTTTGAATGCGAGGCTTCCCAGCCTCTTGGACAACCACGTACACTTCCAGATTTATTTCCAGGCACCAGATGGGTCTTCCCTACGGCACCGATCCTCCACTCCAAACGGTTTGACACCACCATGTCTCAATGGTTCGATATGTGGTCTGTCGAAAACCCCGATGAGCGAGTCGAACTTCAAACAGAAGGATTGAAACAAAGCATCGCCGGCCTTGCGGAGGTAATAAGAGCCGAAGAGAGTCTTGTTCCTCGAGAGAATATTTTCTTGGGAGGAATCAGCCAGGGATTTGCGACAGCACTGTCAACCTTCTTCGCTGACGGCCAAAGCTTCGCGGGCCTCATCGGAATATCTAGCTGGATGCCTTTCGCTAGCATTGTCGAGGATCTGGATTCATCTGGTGCCGGCAATGCCCGACTGATCAGTGCAGTCCACAAGATGTACTCTGCTCAATACCCGAAGAAAGGACCCTCGCTGTCTCTGCAGTCCACCCCCATCTTTCTCGGGCACTCAATCGACGATGGTGTTGTCCCTATCGAGAATGGGAAGCGAATGCGGGATATTCTCGTGCATTCCCTACGATTTGACGCTCAATTGTACGAGTATCAGGATGGAGGCCACTGGATCAACGAGCCACAAGGTGTGGCTGACATGGTCGACTTTCTGAATACAAATATGCGCAAGCACGACAATAATAATGCCCGGAACAATGTCGGGATCCTGGTCCAGCCCATGTAATGGGCTCACGAAATGATTTTTCCCCCAAAGTCTTGCAGAGCACCATTACTGCCAGCCCTCTCTCATCGCCATAAGCCGACGAAGCGCCCGCCGGTTAACCCGCAGATCTTGAGCGACGCGCAACCACAAAATGATCTCGATTATCCAACTCTGGCAATTCCAGCATGCCGAAATATTGTTGACTGGCCAACGTTGCATAAGCCTGCGAATTCTTCGCAAATTTGCCGGGGGAATATGGCCGATACGAACACGGGTTCGATAAAGTCGGGCGTGGCTCGGCCGCACTCTCTAACGTGCGTTGGCAACATGATAGCCGCGGCCACCGATCTTATCGTGAACCTGATGAAGTGTGCCCCGACGAGTGGGCGAGGTAATATGGATCGCCCAATGGTGGGGATCTCTGCTGTCAAGCGGCTGACAGACTATCACATCGAACGTGGTATTTTGTGACTGGAGGGACCCGTTGAGAGGAGGAGTGGCAGGACGATTCATTGCGCGGGACCTGGAGAGTCAATGTAAGGCATTTGCAGAGGAGAAAAGGCAGTTATGGACTCACGGCATTATCGCTGCTCCTAAAGTATGCTGCCAACGTGGAATATGGAATTCATAAAGCTCTCTACCTATGCTAACACCACGCTCTAGGCGGCGTCAATTAATCAATTTGCGACGCGCTGTCAGCAGGACTGCGCCGGACAATTAGGCACCTGGTACTTGCCTCCTCGCGAATTATAAGCTTTTCGGCGCTGCTGGGCGTGCCTGAGGATTATTTTTGGTTATTCCGGCTGCGCGCAACGGCCGTTTTACCTTGTTTGCAACCAGAGGCCGCTTCTTACTTCGTTGAGGCCTGATCCGCGAATCTCTTCTCGGCGACATTCTCGAAGGATAAAACTTTCGATGTCCACCAGGTGCCACGGTTCCTCCTCCTCGGCATTTCGAGAAAGGCTCCCCAACAAGAGCACGGCCGCCTCAACTGGTGTGTGGCGAGAATATTGAAGAGGACGGCACGGCTTTGATCGCGCCAGAAGGCCAAGGTGGCGACGAGGTTGAAGGTTGAAAAGGATCGCCGCAGTCTCAAACTGAAGCTTGAGCACGGCAGGACAGCGCATCAATGTCGCAGCCTGAAAATTGCCGCCGAGCAAATCTCGTACAGCAGTGGTGGATATTTCAGCGCAGGAACAGGAGTTCACGACCAGTGTCCTCCGCAGGGGGCGTTGCAGACCGAGAGGTCTAGACCTACCTTCATTCATTGCAGTCCATGACTATGCTTGATATTTATAGGGTATCGTTTCATGTCTCAGCTCACACTGAATGGCTCAGAGCGGCCCTCACAGCACAGGAGTATCCAGGCAGAGCCACTGGCCGAAGTAAAAGCGTCAAGTCCTACCCTACGCCGCGGAGGGAGTATAACTAAGCGCGATCAACTTTTGGTAGGTCTTGAGCCAATCTCGTGGCTGCGTCCACAAGACATGCAATGCAGGGGAGTGAGTCGAGACAAGTGATTTGTGAAGCGGCACAGATCGGCTGGGCGCTGACGTGGGAGCAATGTTGAATCCATCCTCCATAGCCATCATAATACCACAGATACCGTCGGAAGTTTTATTGTTCACTAGCCGTTTGAATCACCGAGTTCACCACCTCGGAGTCCACCTTTCCCCAGAGGGGTAAAGGTGTCTTGGCTGTCTTCCCCAGCCTCAAGCTCATTTCAAAAGTCAAAACTCGACCCTCGATCTTCACCTCCGTCACTATCCAATCGTGTGCTTGCCCGGAAAAACACCCTGGCTCGCAGCAGTAGACGACAAAGTTACGAGCCCGGCTTCTGGTCCGAAAAAGTTCTATACTTTGTCGCTACCTCAGCCTCGCCCGAGATAAGCTCTGCCAGATCTTGCTCATCTGACGCCGTCGGAGTTGTGCGACTTGGTACTCCAACTACGCCCGAGCCATGAAATGGCCTACATAAAACACAATGAGGTCCGGATCTAACAAACGTTTCCCTTTCTGCTTTCCCTGGCCGGAGCCCTTCGTTCAGGAACCCACCGTCGGTGCTGGGACGAAGCAGACGAGCGAACCGATATCATGGACAGCGGTGGCCCTTGCAATATTGTCGGCTGTGGGGGTTGTAAGCCAGGTCATCATCGCTTTGGAGATACCGTGGCTCTACACTACTGCTTGTCTATGGGCAGCCGCAGTATTGTATGTTGTGCTGTTGCGGCCCAGGACTGTATCGGTGCCTCTGCTTCTTGACTTTGGGGCCATTGCCATTGTGGGAATCGCTCCTTTTGCTTTCAACTTTCCCCTTGATCTGTCAAGAAAGGCACGCGTGAGTAGTGGCTCAAGCGCGCTTCTGGCTGTCCTTGCTTTGCTGGTGGTAATTAATCAACCCCTGCGAGACCCGGAATGCGTTTCTGCAGGTGTCAGCCGGCCTTTCACGGCGCCCAGCAACGCCTACCGATCCCCGGAAGACAACCTCACGCTTTTTCAATGGATGACAGTGTCCTGGATGAGCCCATTGATCAAACTCGGGACTCAAAGACAACTACATGATGAGGATGTATGGTCCCTCGGCTATGAATTCCAGCATCAACATTTGCACGAGGCATTCCGCGAATTGAAGGGAACTGTCATTCGGCGCTTGTTAGCGGCGAATTGGATTGACCTTGTTCTGCTCACCTTTTTGGCCATCTTGGAGCTGACCGCGAATTATTCTGCTCCATTGATTTTGCAAAAGTTGCTTCAAGCGATGGAGGTCATCCACTTCAACAAGCGCCCTGCCATCACCTTTGCGCTGCTTATGCTCGTGGTCAGACTCATGGCAGCGCAGAGTGCGGTTTTCAGTCTATGGTTCGGAAGACGTTGCTACGAACGAGCTCGAGGTGAAATGATTACCATGCTGTACGAAAAGACGCTGAACAGAAAGATCTTGGGCAGCTTCGACCCCCAGACCCAAGAGAAGGCCGCCGACTATGCGAGTGACATTATCGCCGATGAGCCGGATCCGCGCGATCTAGATCCTTTGCCTCAGACAGAACAGCCTCTCCACATTCAGGATCAGGATCCACCAACTCTTGCAGAACGAGGTCACAAATTCCTCCAGTGGCTGCAAACACTATACAAATCCAAACAGAAGCCCGTCACTGAAGACAAGGCAGCGGCCTCTCTAGGAAAGATCCTCAACTTGATGCGCAATGATGTTTATCAGGTTGCTCAGCGCTTCTGGGAGTTTCAGACACTAATCAACAAGCCCCTCGGTCTGGTCCTCTCCATTGTCCTCATCTGGCGTTTACTTGGTTGGTCATGCTTAGTGGGCGTTGCTGTCGTATTCATTGCGCAACTCTTGAACTACATATTGGCACGAGTGCTGATCAGTTGGGAAAAGGAGCGACGAAAAGCAACAGACACGAAATTACAGAAAATATCGGAATACGTGGAAGCCATCAGACATTTGAGGTGGTATGGATGGCATCTGAAATGGCTTGACGATGTGATGACCGCTCGACAGAAAGAGCTCCGGCTGAAAATCATCACCTACCTGTGGAATTGTGCCATCAAATTTGTCAGCTCCATCGCCAGCGGCATGCTTCCAGTCGCCTGTTTCTATGCCTACACGGCTCTGGCAGGTCAACAGCTGCGAGTCGATGTGGCGTTCCCAGCTCTACAACTATTCGCGCTGATGCAGACAAATTTGCGAGAACTTCCAACCCTCATCACCGTAATGCTTGACGCGTCAGTGGCAGTCGGACGCATCGAGGACTTTGTCTCGGAGCCCGACAAAGCCGAGGAGGAAATCAGAGGTCCAACAGAAGACCGACTTGAGTTGCGGAATGCTACGTTTGCATGGCCAGGAGTCCCTCGCCCAGTTCTGCGGCACTTGAATATCGCTTTCCCTCAAGGCTTGACGGTGGTGTATGGTCCAGTCGCAGCAGGCAAAACAGCGTTGCTCCAGGCTCTGCTAGGTGAGCTTGATCTGCTTGAGGGCGAACTTCTAAAGCCGTACCATGCACCTATCGGATATTGTGCTCAGACACCGTGGCTTCAGAGCATGAGTATTCGAGAGAATATCCTCTTCAATGCACCATACCAGGAGAGTCGCTATAAGAAAACCCTGGAAGCCTGCGCGCTTGTTCAAGATTTGGTCAATTTCAAAAACGGTGACCTGTCACATATTGGAGAGAACGGGATCGGATTGTCCGGCGGACAAAAAGCCAGAGTTTCTCTCGCACGAGCAGTTTACAGTCAAGCCCAGATTCTACTTCTGGATGATCCCCTGAGCGCGTTGGATCAACAAACGGCAGAATGGATAGTCTCGAAATGTCTAACGGGCAGCCTGCTTCAAGGAAGAACTGTGGTCCTTGTCACTCATCGCACCGACATCTGTCAACATGTGGCGACGCAGCTCGTCGAGATAACGCATGGCTCGGCAATATTGCATCGTTCCGACGAAGAACTTGGGGCTCCTGCGTATCCGGTGACCAGCTCCGAGGACGTCCAAGACGCACAGGTCAGCGAGGAGCAGGCAGCCGCTGTTCCCGACAAGTTCCTCGATGAGGAGCACAGAGTGCATGGCGGAGTGCAGCTGGCTGTGTACTGGGAGTATATCAAAGCAGGCAGATTGATCTGGTGGCTGGTGGTGGTTGTGACTGCCGCTTTGTGCCGCATTACCTATGTCAGTGAGAGCTGGTTCCTGAAAGAATGGGGCGAGGCATACAACTGGACCATCTACCAGGTCCTAGGCTTGCAGACCGACAGCAGCATCCATGTTTTCCGAAACCCCATCGCTGGCTTCTTCGACAGGTTTCCAAATCCTGCAGTCAATGTTCAGCCATGGCTGATTGGATTCCTTGTGATTGTGCTTCTCGAGACGCTGGCATTGGTCCTTTCCCAGGTATCTATGCTTGTGGTGACTTACACTGCCGCCCGCGGAATGTTCAGAGAAATAATGGACCGGATCAGCAATGCGACTTTCCACTTCTACGATGTAACACCTGTGGGAAGACTCATGAACCGTCTTACCTCTGACGTTGGCACGATCGATGGCAATATCGCCGATCAGTTCTTGATCGTCATATGGTACGGGGTCGCCTGGATATCTTCCATGGTGGTCATCGGGAGTGTCACACCATTATTCTTGATTTTTGCCATTGCTTTGACCATCGCGTTTGTGATGATATTCTTGCGTTTCATTCCTGCATCGCAAAGTCTGCGACGTCTCGAGATGGTCTCGTTAAGCCCCCTCATGTCGAATTTTGGGGCGCTCCTAAATGGGCTTATGACGGTCCGAGCTTTCTGTGCCCAGCCGCAGTTCCAGCAGCGCAATATCCAAGTCACAGACGCATTCCAGAAGATGGATCATTTCTACTGGAGTCTGCAGGCCTGGCTGATGTACCGCTTCGATACGCTATCAGCCGCCTCGACGTTCCTTTTGGCTTTGCTCGCCATCTGCTCGAATTTGTCGGCCGGCCTGACTGCCTTCGTCCTCGTCGCGGCGGACAAATTCGTAGAGTCAACCCATGCAATCTGCAAACAATACGGTCAGCTCCAGCTTGACTTTGTCAGTGTGGAACGGGTCGTTGAGCTGCTCCATCTCGAAAAAGAAGATCCCGGTTCTCTCAAGCCGCCCGCGGCCTGGCCAAGATACGGCAGTGACATTATATTCGAGAACGTCACGATTCGGTACCAGCCTCATCTCGAACCAGCTCTAACCAATGTTTCTCTGCGAATCAAAGGGGGGACAACCAATGCGATCATTGGGAGGACTGGCTCGGGCAAATCGACTTTGGCTTTGGCCTTGTTGGCGACCATCACTCCAGAATGCGGACGAATCTTAGTCGATGGCATTGACATTGCAAAGGTTGAAAAGCAAGCCCTGCGAAGTCGCATCACCTTCCTGGCCCAAGACCCTATCCTCTTTCAAGGCACGCTGCGACATAATCTGGATCCTATGGAAGAACACTCCGACTATGCTTGTGAAAGTGTCGTGTCAAGGGTGTGCGGAAAGTATGGGTGGACGCTATCAACACCAATCGACAGCGGAGGGCGCAACTTGAGCCAAGGACAGAGGCAGCTTGTGGGACTTGCTCGGGCAATTTTGAGACGAAGTTCAATTGTGATCATGGACGAGGCCACGGCCAGTATCGACTTGGAGACTTCCAGTGAGATCCATCGTGTGCTGAAGGAGGAACTGCACGAAAGTACGATCATAACGATTGCACATCGCGCCGCGGCAATGGAAAGTGCCGATTTCTGCGTTGTTTTATCGGCTGGCCGAGTTGCTAGTCAGGGAAAGCCAGCTGAGGTTGCGTTTTAGAGCCAGAGTGACAATCTGGCGGCGTTTTGAGGTGAATGGATGGCATAGAGGGAAGCTTTGCTCATAGATAGGGATAAAATGGCCGCGAAGGCGGCTCGAGGACATAAATCGGCGGTTTGACCGACATCTTGCGATGCGGATAGACAGATTTTTTCGGTTAGGGCTTCGCCCCAAATAGACTTGAATGATGATTGCTTCAAGCACTTGCCCGGGCGAACTCAAAGATCATTGTACGGGACATAGACGTCTGTGCTGGGCGGCAATGTTGTTTGATCGAGTTCTTTGGAGATGGAAGTTTGGGGTTGATAGGCGGCAAGGCCCTGAGGACTTCGAGCAACCAGGCGCTAGCTCAGGCTTGCATAGGCGGCGGGGGTGGCGCTCCTGGCGAGGAATGCCGCTTATAAGAGAGGAGCAGCCGCCTAATAATGATGGCCCGAGGGGCCGTGAGTAACAGGGCTAACAAAAGTGCACAAAAGGTCCAACTGCTTGCCTGTTTCCTCTCCTTGACGCGGTTACCCCGGATTGCTGGTGCCCGCCAATCAAAACGCACCCTTCCACCGTTCCTGAGGCTCGATCGTAACGATGACGTTGGAAAATCTTCTCACCGCCCGTAAACTTGGAACTTGAAGCTCACTGAAACCACCGCAGCGTTTTGTTGTCACGTTTAAATTAATCATTGGCACCATTCGGCTTGTCTGCTTCCACAGCTTCTGAGTGTCTTCGCCGATCACAACTCGCCTTCTCTGTGGATCGGGACAGGCAGCCATGGCGGACCCCTCCCTTTCCAATGAGGAAGTTCAGGCAGCGCGTGTTATCTCTAACCACCTGCCGTCAGGATATACGGCCGAGTTCGATCCTGTTAGCGACCACAATCATGGAGAGGCCGCCGGGAGATCTCGCGAGGAAGCGGAGTCGTCGCTCAAGCTACAAGGTGGCGACATGACGCGAGACTTGTACAAAATCCATCAGCGAGGCAAACCCCTTCAACGGGCTGCTACAATTTCCCATCCAACAACCGAGGCACCACCTCCGCTTGCAGATACCTCTGTGTCCGAGCATCTTGCCCCCGGAGGCTTTCGTCGAGCTTTCATCAAGCAAAAGTACGGGAGGTTTAATCCCGCTGTTCTACCAGTGACGCGAAACTTTGTCGAGTTTCTTTCACTCTACGGAAGTTTTGCGGGCGAGGATCTTGAGGACTCGGAGGAAGATGAATCAGCCATCGAGGACTATGAGGAGGAAGAGGGTCGAACGCCCGGCGAACGTCGACCTCTTCTTGGCCGGCGACGGACCACGAGAAGGGAACAGAAAGGAGATGCCGGCATGACCAAGACTTTTTTCACCCTGCTAAAGGCCTTTATCGGTACCGGAATCATGTTCTTGCCAAAAGCATTCAACAACGGCGGGATCTTGTTCTCTTCCTTGACACTCCTGGCCGTGTCCGTCATTACCACGTTGGCATTCCATCTACTACTGCAGTGCCGGCAGGTGCACTCCAAAAACGGATACGGTGAACTCGGCGAAGCAATCGGCGGACGGAGAATGAGAGATATCATTCTGGGCTCGGTCACAATCTCTCAGTTGGGATTTGTCTGCGCAGGTACCGTGTTTGTTGCCCAGAATTTACACTCTTTTCTGGTGGCCGTCACCAAAGGCCGAAACCCATTATCCACCAATGTCCTCATCGCGCTCCAACTGCTAGGCCTGATCCCCCTCGCCTTTATACGCAACATCTCCAAACTCGGTCCTGCGGCGTTGCTGGCAGACGTCTTCATCCTGCTGGGTCTTGCCTATATTTATTACTACGACATTGCCACCCTCGCAGATCACGGACTTCACAAAACCGTGCAACTGTTCAACCCGGATCATTTCACATTGACAATCGGGTCTGCCATCTTCACTTTTGAGGGCATCGGCCTCATCCTTCCCATCCAGTCATCGATGAAACACCCGGAGAAATTCGAGCCGCTCTTGTGGACAATCATGCTGATAATCACGGTCATTTTCACCTCTGTGGGAGCACTTTGTTACGCCACCTTCGGAGCCGGAACCAAGATCGAGGTCATTTCCAATTTTCCGCAAGACAACAAACTTGTCAACGCTGTGCAATTCCTTTACGCTATTGCGGTACTAGCGGGCACCCCTGTCCAGCTCTTCCCCGCCCTGCGCATCATTGAGGGCATGATATTCGGTCGGCGTTCGGGCAAGAGAGACACATTGACCAAATGGAAGAAGAACGGTTTCAGGACGGTCCTGGTTGTCTTTTGTGCCTCGATCTCTATCTTGGGCGCCAGCAATCTAGACAGATTTGTGGCCCTCATTGGTTCGGTCTGCTGCGTGCCACTGGTATACATTTACCCTCCACTATTGCATTATCTGGGTGTTGCCCGGTCGAGTTGGGCCAAAGCTGGAGATATCGCGTTTGTGGTGTTAGGACTGGGCTGCATGGTGTACACCAGCGTCATCACCCTCAAGAATAGTTTCTGAGGTCGGACGTGGTTTCTGGCTTGCAGTGTAGAAGAATTGCCGCAAAGATCGAGACTGCCATAGATTACGGAAAACATGACTCACGAGAATTTGTACTGTAAATTACTTGACTTGCTAAGCTACCAGGTATTTTGTCAAAGTAGCATCCTTCGGGGGTCTGTACAGCTTCAGCTTTGCAAATAAAGTTGCACTTTTTAGACGGCCCGCCAATAATACGGGCGGCCGCAGCAACTTGAACTGGGAAACACTCTCGTGACAATTCCACGCCTAAGCCCGCCGACATCGGCTTAAAGCTTCAACTTATTATTTCTACTACATTGTAACAACTTGTTCAACGGCGCAACAATACGGTGCCAGCCATGTTGATCCTCAAAGAGAAGGAAGTGTTCTCACTCCTCTCAAATCTCTCCCCAGAGGAAGCCCGGCGCCTTCTTCACCGCCTCCACGATGTTTTGCGAGAGTTTTCCCGGAGCCACCACCTGGCCCCCGAAGAACGAAACATTCATCAACCCGAACGAGCAGCAATTGTGACCAAGTTGGGCAATACGTCCCTTTTTATGCCATGCTCACTCACCACCTCAACCGCCGTCAAAGTCGTGACTCTCGATTCTGGGGGTAGCCTCAAGGGCGCGATCAATGTTTTCACACCAGAAGGTGATCTGGTCGGCGTTTTGAACGCCATGGAAGTCACAGCTTTCCGAACGTCGCTGGCTGTGATGATCCCCTATGTTCGTTTTGTGCACAAGAAAACGAACATTGTGGTATTCGGAGCAGGGAGACAGGCTGAGTGGCATGTTAACCTAGCCCTTTTGCTGAGCAAGGTCGACCGTGTGACAGTTGTTAATCGAAGCAGCCCCCGCAGGATGGAGCAGCTGTTTGCGAAGTTGTCAGAGGCGTATCCGGGCACAAGCTTCAATCTGCTTTTGAAGACAGACGTCGATTACGACGCACACTTGCGAAGGGTGCTGACGGACGCGGATGTCATCTTCTGCTGCACTCCCGCAACTACGCCTCATTTCCCGTATACCTATTTGGACGCCAGACCACGGTTTATCTCGTTGATCGGGTCGTACAAGCCCTCCATGCAGGAAGTTGACTCACGGACACTTCTCTCTGGAGGCCGCATCTATGTCGACACCAAAGAAGGATGTCTGACAGAATCAGGTGAACTGATCAATGCAAACGTAACGAAAGACCAGCTTGTCGAGGTTGGCGAGCTCGAGAATGACGAACCGTTGCAAACGGAGGGGAATTTAGTGTTCAAATGTGTTGGTTTGGGTCTTATGGATATAACAATTGCACGGGAACTGCTCACGATGGCGGAGAAGGAGAAAATGGGATTCTCCGTGGATGATTTTTGATGACATATACTGAAGACTTCCAACGATCTCCCACTCGTCAAATTGGTTTACCACTTCGGGAGTACACGAGCTAATAGGTCACCAACGGAGTGAATGCCATTTCAAACACCATCATTGAACCGGTAGTCGTTCCCCCAACGAGTGTCCCATGGACGACTGTTGTCGACAAACCTCAGATCTGTTCCGAGTCGAATCTTATCTTCGGGGTCATGGTTGATGGTTGATGCATGGATCTATGTCTTTTGTCAGCATAACCAAATGCCAATTGGGGAATATTTCTTACCGCATAGGAATTGTGAAGAACCACGTCGCCAGCTTCGTACTCGGTCAGCAGCCAACGTCGATTATATCTTCGTGCAAATTCGGCAGGGCCATCGGCGAGCATGCCTCCGGACATCATATTCTGATTAAACGCGTTCTTTGCTTCTTCGTCGGTCAGTCCAGAAGCTTTGGCTTTCCTGGTGAATTCCTCTTCAATCTCTGCGCCAAGGGTATGTCCTTTCTCCAGGTATATCAATCCACCCCCTTGTTTCGAGACATCCCCAATCGGGACCCAGGCAGTTACTGCCGAGTCGTCTCCATATCTCAAGAATATTTGGTCGTAATGGACACCGATGGCTTTATTCCCCGGAGTGTTGTTTCGCAGTAGTGTTCTCCGAACACCAAGGGTATTTTCTCCCCAACCGGTTAATCTGGCGATATAGTCGCGCAGAGCCGGATGTTTGCAAAATTTCTCCTTATACCATGGCTCAGTGTGAGCCTGAAGTGCCAGATCAACGAACATGGTTGCTACCTCAGGATGAGGCCCTGTGGGACGACCATTGGAATCTGCAGAGCCGGCTCCAATTCCAGGAAAGTCCAGTTTATCCTTTGATGAATCGAAAATGCCATCGACGGGACTAGTTCCAGGTTTCAAGACTCCACTGGGGGAGAGCAACTTGAAGTACTCCTCTCGAGCTTTCAAGACATCGTCACGAGGTAACAGTCCTTTCAAGAAGAGGTACCCATCCTCTTGATAGCGTCGGCGAGCTTCTTCGATAGGAGTGTCAATCGTTGTTGGCTTGAGGCTCCCAATCTCTCCAGGAGTCAGCGGCCCATCATTAACAAAAAGCTTCTCGCCATTTATTCGTTGGGGCTCTGGTGACTCTGCATGAGGCATTGTGGTTGTTTATTATAACGGAATCTCTCACAGTGGGTTGATTTGTCGGGGACTGGTATGTCAGGTAAGGAGATATAACAAGGGAAATCAAATCTGGGTTCCTTTGTGCGACTAAATAACACTTGTGGACGTGGGTAGCTGACGGAGCCATGATTTTTGAAGCACCAGCTGATCGATAGTGATCGACTTCGGGCACCTAGTCGATGATAGAATTCTTCCCGCATGGCGTAAACAATCTCCGCACAAACTGCCAGTGCAGGAAGACTTCTACCACAATAACTGGGTCGACCGAAGCTGGAAATTTGGGAACGGGGTCCCCCAATAACCCCCGCAAAAGGAGCCCAGGAAGGCCAAAGGAGTATCGAAACCCGCACCACCTCCACAATTTCTTCTCTAGATTCGCGTTTCACGTCGAATTATCATCACACGTTATCCTACAATGTACTATCTTGCACGCTAGATGAGGACCTGCGGACCCACTCGGAAGCGACATTCCAGTACGTGCGTTCGCACACCTGGACTGGACTAAAATTGACCTCACTCAGCTGACAGTCATCTACGAGCTGGTTGGTTGCCACAATGCAGCCTCAAAGACGTCCAGATGGGTGTCTACAGCTGTTGCGTTCGACCAAGCCAGACTTGGGCACCATTTCCCTGTAGACGTGGTTCGCCCGATGCAACACAACATGGACATACCTTCAAGGTGAAGCACGCAGCTCACGTCAATGCAAGCCAGATTGCGTCACAACTCGAAGGTCAATGCAGGTGTACAACTGTAGACGCCATACTTCTCCTGGTGAAGCCAAAGCGCATACCAGGTACAACTACATTGCAGCGAAGTCAAGTGCCTCGCCCACGACACGGCCTTGCCATAAAGCCGTTGGCTTCTCCGACCTTCCGACCTTATGCAGCAAAGTTGCTGCGTGTTTCAGCAGCTGAAATACTGAAATGTTCACCCAAGTACAGATAAGTCATGGTCCGAGCATGCTCCGACCTTCGCATTGCTTTGATATCTGTCGCTGCTCTTCTTTTCGGCTAGATCAGGCAGTCATGGGTATCCGGGTTGCAGAGGCGTGCTGGGAGAAACAGGTTGATTGTTCGGAAGGAGGTGTCAAACTGGCATTGGCGCAGCATACGCACTAAATGCAGAGGACAAGATATTCCACACCAGCAGATGGCAGTAAGTGTACAAATAGGTGAATATTCCACCAGGGACTCGCTTTGACTGCCGTCAGGAGCACACTGCCGATTTTACGTTCTGTGCCCCGTGCGTGTGCACCCAGCCTTGTTGGTCATCATGTGACTACGCGAAGATGAGTTGCAGGGTTCCCCACACAATCACGACGCGCCCCTGTTCTGTCGTTCCTATTTTGTCATGTTTGGCCGAGGGTCGGCCAAACCAGAGTAACAACGCATTCAGTCTGGGCCTGGCTTGCTCACCATGGACATAAAAGGAGTCTTTTTCCCAGACAGATGGCTGGACTGAACTCTCATCAAGTTCGCCGATTTCAATACTCTGGACCATGGGTTCGATGCTTTGTCCTGCTCGCTCTCGCGTATTGCAGAATGCAGCAAGGAGCATCAAATCTCTGCTGCGTCCCTTCTCTTCCTTCCAGCCACTGCGAGCAGAGCCTGTCTCGATAGGTGCCAGTCTCACGGAGAAGGCTCAAGGTCGACTGGATGAACGGAATCTGGAAAAGGCCGTCCGCCAGGTGCGCCATGACGGCCTGGTGGTCGTTATGAATGCCGTCGACACCGTCAACATTGACAAGTTGAACAAGAAGATGGTTGAGGATGCACTGAAATTGCGTGCCCGAGGCAAAGACAGTCCTTTCAACTACAACCCTGGCAACCTCCAACAAGACGCTCCTCCGGTGGAGGAATACTTCCATCCAGATATCTTCTTCAGTAAGTGCGGCCTCATACGGTCGATTTCCATGAACTTGCTGACACCGCGTGCCACGTTCAAGATCCAATTGCAACTCAAATCACATCAGCGGTCCTTGGGCCAAGGCCGAAGTTGACATTTTGTTCGGGCAACTCGGCCATGCCTCCCACACTGGGCTCGGAGCCCCAAAGGCAGCCAGAACACTCAGATGCCGACTTCGCGCATCCTGACCACCCATTTGCCCTGGTTGTGAACGTTCCCCTGGTTGATATGAAACCCGAGAACGGATCGACGGAAGTGTGGCTTGAGACGCACCAGGATTACGGGCTTGAGGCTCAAGAAGGGGCGCATGGTGAGCGTAACTCGGGGCGTATTCGTCAATCCTTGCTGGAGGAAAGGTCGAAAACGAGCGCACCATCTCAACCGTTCATCCCCAAAGGCAGCATAATCGTCCGCGATCTGAAGACTGTGGCATGCGGGTATGCCCAACTATACGGACGATGTTAGAATCATGCTGGCCATGAGTATGATCCCCTTTCCGGCAAACAATGGCGGACTCAGCTAACTGGCCACAGTTCACTTCGCTCCTTGGTATCGCAACCAGATGAAGGTGGAGCTTGCAGAAGAGCTGAAACCTCTTGTGGAAGATCACCCCGAGTTGGACGTGAGAGCGAATTATGTCAGTCAGCAACAGGCTCTTGACTCGTATCTCGACCGACCTTTCGGGAACTTCTATGACTTTGGCCAGGCTCCTTAGGAGGCTGGATGGGTGATGTAGTGTCAATGTTGATGAAAAGCCTGGAGGTTAGCGTTATGTAGAGCAGATGAGCTCGCGCCATACTGCGAAAATGATCAGTTGATATGCGGAGTTTGCTGGATTGGCAGTTTGCCATGCCCCATCTTGTAACATCGTATAAAGTTGATATTAAATAGAAGTTCGAGATCTGTGGCGCAAACCAATGGATGAAGAAGAATTGACAAGGCTTGGCCTCCTGTACAATCAATCCAATGTACCTAGGTACTAAATCCACTCGGCTTCCATACTGCCACTACTTCGACCGCTTCCAGACTTCCAACTTTGCCACTTCCTACAATTTGGACTCGCATCAGTGACACTTCTGTCTTTGCGGTCGACATTGTGATCCAAATGTAGGAACCCACCGTGGCTATGGCTAAGACCGTTAGCAAGAATTGTATGTCTACAGGCTGCACGATGTCCACGCTCGAACTAATCCTTGCATAGCCTGGTAAGCGAAACCGTGCAGGCCACTGGCGCCAAATACTGATCGCAGCGCACTGCAGTAGAACATGCCGACTTCGCAAGTTGAAATGTAAGGGACATCGCTTTCTCCCGGTCTCGCTGTGGCGCTCAAATCCTCATTAGGTGACGAGGCGTTGCCAATTTGTGGCCGTTGTGAACGGTCGGGACGTTTCTGTGACCATTCAAAGCCCATCAAAATCCGCGTACAGAAAAATGTGGCCAGGCGAAGGAAGAACTCAACGCCAGTGTTAGCCAGCGACCATGACCCGGAGGTTTCCTTGCAGGATCCACGGAAAGCATTACAGGATGAAGAAATTGCCGAATGTTTCGAGCACTACTTGAAGGTCTTGTCGCCCTGGTACGATCTCAACGACCACGACTCGACCTTCGGTGCAGTGGTTGCAGAGCAAGCCCAGCAGAACCCTTTGCTACTGAGCGCCGTGGTTGCTTTCGCGGCGATGCATAAGGCTCGCACTGGTCATTCCTCGTTCATGCCGGTAGCGGACCGTTATCATAATCAATGCTTGCGCTTGCTGATTGGCCTCCATGATTACGACGCCGCCACCAAGGACGGCACAGCGCTGGCGGCGACATGCTTGCTGCGATCATACGAGATTCTTGCGGGTAAGTTTTACGCCCGTCAGGTGTCTCTCGCTAACACGAAAGCAGAAGAAGAAGATCCCAATCGACACCTCTTTGGGGCATTTAGTCTGATTCCAGCTCTGACTTTTGAATTCCCAAGCGAACCCGTTCTCCGAGCAGGGCTTTGGAATTATATGCGTGAGGATATCACTTTTTCCTTGGTGAATGGGTGTCCGTTGAAAATAGATATGGGCAATGTGGACATCAATCCTTCTCGTGACGACGATTATGCGAATCAAGCAACATTGCTGCTGGCACGCATCATCAATGCCGTTTTCCTTGACCAACATGCGGTGGTGGAACAACTGCGAGAGGCTCTGGAAAGCTGGAAATCATCACTGCCATTCCGACCTTACCATCAATCTGACGGAGTTGTCTTTCCGAAGATTTGTTTTATAAGAGATTGCCAAGGTGCGTTGTCTCCGTTCTGGAGATCATCTCTGACAGTTGCAGTGGCCGCCATGCATTATTATCATGTCGTGACCATGGTCCTGAACCGAAGTGACCCGGATCCAGTCGAGTTGGAGAACCACGCGCGCGCAATCTGTGGGCTGGCATTTTCGGCAAAGAGCGACGCTGTCATGGTGAACGCATATGGCCCCATTTCCTACAGTATGTTCCCGGAAAAGTATGGTGGAGACGAGACTAATCAGAAGTCAGGCGCAGGATGGCTGAGGAGGGGCGATGATCGGTGTGAAGTTGTCAGCCGACTGTTGGATAGCCAGAAACGCACTGGATGGCCCGTTCAAGCCATCATCAAGAAGCTCAAAGAGCGCTGGACGGGCACGGACAACCTCAACGCAGGTCATTTCGGGAACGACGGTGGATTATGCCTGGCGCACGGTCGATGCTCAACCCACTATTTCAATCTGCATCCTTTCTGCGATGAGAAGCTCCTCATCAGCAATGCCCTCGTCGAATTCGTCTTCAATATTCGAGTGGCCGTTTGTACCATTCTGGACTTGTGTTGTTGTGTTCACGGCACTGTTGAGATAGTCATGAGAGTATGCGTCGTGCCTCCCAAAATCACCTTCACCTCGTCTGGCTTTTTGTTCGCGCTGAAATTGTTCTAGCTCCTTCAGATCCCAGCTATCCTTTCCCTTTGTGGAGCCGTCGGGCGCTTTTTGCCCGGTTCCGAGCGGTTGTGCGATGCTCCTTAGGAATTTCTTTGCCATACCAACAGCCGCGTCGGTGCTCAAGCCGGTTTGACCGTCATGAATCTCTTCGGCAATCCATCGAGGGAGCTGGTTGCGTTTCTTCTGAAAGCGACGGTCGGCCAAGACCATGATTCCGTAGTCGTCCTTTCCTCTCAACACACGGCCCAGACATTGGGCTGCATGCCTCATAGCATCGAAAGAAAGAAAATCCTGCTCTTTGATCCTGTAGTTCTCGCGAAGAAATTCCAACCGGGCTTTCAGGATTCGGGATTCTGTATATTGAAAAGGTGCACCCATGCACAAGACAGTCCGGCCAAAGTGATGATCGAAATCAATGCCTTCGGAAACTTTGCCACGGGCGACGCAGAGAAGAATGGCACCTTTACCGTTCTCGCATGCGGTTCGGTATGTCTCCAGTGCAAGACTTGTCTCCTGAGCATCCGGGGTCTCGACCAAAATCAGTTTGTAGGTCCAAATCTGATCGAGAATGCCCATTCCCTGCCACATACTGATGATCATCTCCATGTAGAGATAAGAAGGAAAGAAGACGACAATACCATCGGGAGTGATCTTCGCGAACTCGAAAAGTAGCGCTCCATAATTTCGGACCACTCCTGGGTCAGATCGAGACTGGAAGCCGGAAGTGATCGACTGTTGATCTGAGCCACGTGTAACAATCATCGGCAAGAACGACCGCCGTGCTAGAGACATGGGATAAGATTCTTGCAGAACGGTGCTGAAATTCAGCATTTTTGGATACATCTCTAGAGGAGATATAGTGCCTGAGGTGATGATGACGGAGGAAAATCGTTCAAAGACGGGTTTGATAGCAATAGAAGCGTCCAGGCACGCGAAATGGAGGATGGGATTTGGCACTGTGGCTTGTTCGGTCTCAAAAGGCTCCAGGATCAACAAGAAGCCAGTCTCATATGTCGCAACCAGAGTGGCAAAGGTAGCGACCTCCTGCAGTGGTTGGTAATCTTCGATGTTGGTCAATTCCAGCGTACGAACGAGCGACGTCAATCGTTCGGCGCAAAAGCGAAGAGGTTTGCGTTCGATGAAGGTTAGCTCCTTTAGATGCGAAAGAAACGAGGGAGGAGTCTCTTGGATGACGTATAGAACTTTCATACGTGTTTTCAGGTATTCGATGAAGCGTTTGAGAAAGGCCACGAAGTGCTCGGCGCGACGAATGTTGCCCGGTACGGCCTCCTTCAGCAGGTCATCGGGCAAGGTAGGATTGGACATGAACGCATCTTCTGCTCGAGCTTCGTCCGCCTCCCTCAGCCCTTCGACGAGTTTTTGATATTCATTTTGCAATTTCTCCTCATCCGACGCTTTCATCTCCTCAATTTTCCGCTCGAGGTTGTTTGCACCTCTGGTCGCCTTTCGCAAAGAGTCTTCCGTCAAGTCGATCGACAAGGACTCGATACAGACATTGTCGATGTTGTGTGCCTCGTCAAACACGACAATGCAGTCTTTCGACAGTTCCTTGGATACTCGCTCCGCGATTTTCGGATCCAAGAGGTAATGGTAAGAGTAGATGATGACGTTACAAAAGGGCATCATCCTTCGAGCAGAAAAGTAGGGGCACTGTTTATGCTCTTCCCCATACCTGATCAAGCCGTCGAGAGTGAAGACGCCGGGTGGGACCAGATTGTGAGGCTCCAGAAGATCCAGGTTGTCATGGTAGACACAGACCTCCACATCTTCTCCTCGCTCCTTTTTCTCCTTCACAAATCCCGCAGTCAAGCTGCGACACCTTGCATCGACCACGGCACCACTCTTCTCTCGTTTGACCGACGGGTGTAGACAGAGGTTTTTCCGACTGGTAAGCCCGAGTCCTCTGAAATCTTCCACGTATCCAAGCTGATCGGAGCGATACTTCATGAGCGCTTTCAACTCCGCCAATGCCTTTTCAATTTCCGACATTGTACGCGAGCAGTAGATGAGTTTGCGATGTTCCGGGTAATGTTGCTGATATGCCACAATGAGGGATAAGAGAGAAACCGTCTTGCCTGTTCCAGACGGCATTTCAAGGACGCAGTGACCCCCGGCGTCAAGCGTTCGCTTGAGGTCGCACATGTAGGCATATTGTTCGGGATATATTCGAGGATATGGAAAAAGAACAGGCAGATCACTATCGATAATTAGCCAGATGGATCACGACCAGGAAACAGCGTCCATACTCTATGAAGAACTTCATGATGCGGGAGTGGTCGCCTCGAGCGGCCAAAGGTTCTAGGCCACGACAATAACATCAAAGTTTGTCTCTGAACGAGACGCCCGACAACGGCTTGTTGCTGTCAGCAGAAACGGGCAGGAGACATAGAGCGCAAACAGAATTTATGGGCGTGATTCAGTCGTGGAGTGTTTATAGCAAAAAAGATGAAGAGTGGCGGGCGCGGCCGCACAGGCAGATGCACGAATAATGAGTCGCGAAGTGATTAATTAATTCGAATTGCAGCGGAATCCGAGTCTGGGGTCGCGCAAGACGTCACCGACACGGCGAATCTGTGCGATTTGCTGCTGCCACTGTTTTTACAGTGTACGTTGTATTCGCTCTCCAAAATTTTGGAGTCAGTCTCGAAGCCCCTCCAGCCTCCAGAAGATAGGACTATGTACATTTACAAATGAATCATTCCTCAAGTCCTATTGCTGCCCTCTTCCGACTTTCACGCTACACGACGAGGACGACCATAACAGCATGAGCAAGAAATTCAAGTCACAGGCTTCAAGCGCCCGTGCTGCCTCTGCTGTCTTCGGGTCGTCCTCCTTCGGTTTCGGTGCGCCAACGAGCGGCGCCTTCAGGTCTGCTTCATCCTCTCTGTCCTACATCACCGAGCAGCCCGACCTCAGCAGCGTTTCAAATCCTAATGTTGTCGTTGCGCTGCGTAATCTTGGAAAGAAGGACAGCACCACCAAGGCCAAAGCGTTGGAGGAACTGCAAGAACACATTGGTACCTCCAAGTCCGCTGATGGTGCCGATCCTGGCCTGCTTGAAGCCTGGGTTTGTGGTCCTTGATCTGTTGATTTCTACTTTACAGGCCGCTGACTGTCTTGTGGCTAGGTTAATCTATATCCTCGAACCTCTATTGACAACTCTCGACGGGTGCGGCAATTGGCACATACACTCCAGGGATCTCTCACTGCAATATCGGGGAAGCGCATTGCGCCACACCTGCCCAAGGTCATCGGAGCCTGGTTATCGGGTGTGTATGACAGCGACAAGCTGGTAGCACGGGCGGCGCAGGAATCAATCACAGCAGCATTCACAACCGAAGACAAGAGGAGGGCGTTGTGGAAAATCTACAGAGACGCGCTCATCGACTATGCTGAGGACGCCATATTGGTGCAGACAACTAATTCTTTAAGTGACGAACGCTCGACTAGCCCCGACGATGCCGAAGCGAAGTTCATTCGCGTGGTCGGAAATGCCATCTATCTGCTCTGCCAAGTCCTCAGGACCAACTTCTCGGTGGCCACAGATGGGGATGCTGCTGGGGTTCCCGAAGGGCTGAAAAGAATTTTGACGGACAAAAAACTCTGGGGGTACTCTTACTCCCAGGATCCCAATCTGCGCAGAGCCGTGTGCACCTTGGTGGTTGTCTGCACCGAAACAGTCAGCACACACCTCGACTGGTCTGCTATAAGTGCCTGCTTCGTTGGCAAGGCCCTCGCCAGCAGCCAGATTGGATCGGCCCGGCAGCTATCAGAGGCGCTTCTCGCCTTGACTTTGCACCGGCCTGAAATTTGGACATCAGATTATTCCTCAAAATCTCCGGCATCCAAGAAGTTGCACCAGTTTCTCAAGAATGGCTCACAAAGAGGTCCGGCAGATTTCTGGAACACTATTGCGGCGCTTCTCAGACGGATCCCTCTCGAAGTCTGGGCTCCAGACTACTCGGACGGCCATATCCAGCTGTCGTCTGCAACCTCCTTGGTCACATCTCTGCGTGCGGGAGTTATCAACAGTGACGAGCCGCGCCAAAACCTCCCAGCTGCGTGGTCCGCTTATGTTGGCACATCCTTCTGGATTTTGAGCATGCTTCCCGACGAAGATTCAAAATCAACCTTGGCCAACGAGGAGCTACTACCTCTGGTATCTCACTACATAACTCAGAGCACGCAGCAGGTTTCCTGGAAGCTCCCTGTCTCTTGCGACCAGCGTATTTCTTCGGAAATACTTGTTAATGTCCTGCACCAGGGCCTGAACCGTGTCTTCGAAACCACCTGGTCAAGATTGTGTCAGGAATTAGCCGACAGTATAAAGTTGTCCCTTCCAGAGAGTTCGAAGGATTTTGCAAAGTCTCAAGATGCTGTCATTGCTCAAGCGCAACGTCTCTTCCAGCTCAGAACTTCTGTGTCGCGGTCTGAGGTCCTCAGCCAGGCCGAGAGATCATATGCGGGACAGGTCTTCCAGCAGAGTGATGAGGAGCTCGTCAATGTTGCAACTGAACTTTTAGGTGCTCGCAATGGCAAGCCGTATTCAGCGGCTTTTGTGCTCGAGCGCATCTCAACCCAACCTGAATTGCCGCAGCCCAAGGGACTCCATTCCTTCTTGCAATCCGGTGTCTTACCGCTTCTCAACAGCCCTTCCGCCGAGTATATGATTTCTATCGTTCTCACAAATGGTCAGAATGTTCAAGAAACTATCTCGACATTGCTTCATTCCGATCCAAGTGACTACTGCACAGCTGCTCTTAGGAGACTTCTAGCTCAAATCTCGGTGGAGGACCTCACCAAGAACTCGGAGCTTGAATCCTTCATTCTGCATAAGGTTTCCACGGCCCTCCAGGAACAGCCTGTCCAGCAGATGATGCAGGCAGTCCTCAGAAATCCGAATCTGCGCTCATCAATACTGCAAAACAAGTGCATCCAAAGTGTGATTGAACACTTGTCAACCGACACCGATGCAGCTCTCCAACGAAGTGCCCTGAATCTTCTTCTTTCTCTTCTCACAGAAGCGAATACCGCTAATTTACTGTTTGCCGATCGGGGGAGTGATTTCCTGTCCCGGCTTCTCTTACTTTCGGATTCCCAGGATGCTGAGGTTGCGGAGCTGGCAAACCTGTTGATAGCTAAAATCAGAACGCTATCTCCGGGCGAAACCTCAGCAGCTACTTCATCCACCAAGGTTGTGCAGGATCAGCTATCCGGCACTGGGTTTCCACTGTCTATCTTTACATTGATCAACCTGGCCAAAGATACCTTGAAAAGCGCACCGCGCGATCAAAGTGGGACGATAGGGATGCTCTTCCCCTCCGCACAACAGTGGGCAGACGCTCTCAGAAGTCATCTTGCTGGTAGACGGCCACGATCCCTGGTTGTCACCAATGCTCTACACGGAATCATATTCATGATTGAGCAGGGTGCACCTCAACCGACTCCACATCTTCGAGATGCAGATGAATTTTCTCTTCTTTTCCGACTCGTCTTCTACGTCACCCGAATGGCGTCTGACACGGATATACTCACTTTGCTGTCCTCGGCTCAACTTGAAGCCCTTTATTCACATTACCCTCTGGCTCTGCAGCTTGTAAATGAAAAACTGACAGTGGAGTCGGCAAACGACATTTGGCAGAACACGACCAATGAAGTGGTAGAAGAAGCTGCGGACATATTATCTCAGGGAAGTTCCGTGCTTCAAAGCTGGCTCCAGGACGAAAGTCTGATCAACACTTGGATCGACATAATTCGCTCAACATCTGACATGACACCTCAATCATTTCTGAAAGGTTTAGCGTTCACGGACATCGCGTCTCGCTATGCGGACGAGTTTGGATCAGGCCGTCTTCTGTCGTCCTTTGACACCGAGATAAATGAGATGCACAAGGCCCCAGAGGTCATTCGCTCAGCAAGCCTGTTATCTGCTTGTCGCGACAAGATTTCTAGCACGCAGCAGGGCCGCAAACTCGTCAACGAGCTGATTGCTACTGGTACGGGTCTACGATCCCCCGAGTCCAGCACAGGCTTGCGTTCTCTAGTCCTCCTCGACTTACTGCTTGATGGCAGTTCAGATGCGTTGAGTGAAGTTCCCAGCCAGCGTCTTGTCTTCTTTGTCCAAACTCTATCCCACCTGATCACCGAAACATCGGACGAACTAGGGTATCAAACGCAGGCAATGAGATTACTTGACCCGATGCTGTCGGCTGCCCGTGACATTTACGGAGCCCATTGGGAGCGCATCATTCAGTGCATTGCTGCAATGTGGCATGATGGAAACGACTTGACCGACAACGTCCCTCTCCTACATGCATCTCTCCGACTTTACAGCCGTCTGCGATCACTGGTAGCGTCTGATGATTGCAATGATGACTTGAGCGATGCGTGGAAAGCCGCGGAGGCGTCTCTTGAGGATGGCCTTGTACACTGCCTTGATTTATTCAAGGAGGAAAAAGAGGAGACCAACCAACCGTTACGGATTACTGCCGAACTGCTACGGAGACAGCTTTCACATATTTCTCCTCGACACCACGCGGATCTATATCCCTTCCTGTCGTTCACAGAGCCTGCAATCCGAGGCGCCGCTTACGACCTCTTGCATCGATCAATCCCAGCAGAACAAGAGCAACGTTCTTTAGACCTGACTCTGGAACAGAAAGCCAGCCATATCTCGAACAACTTGCTTTCCTTACTCTCGAATGCTCCGGGGCAATTGGAGATCGGGCCTGGCCCACTGCGACATACCTATCTGCTTTGCTGGCACTTAGTCTTTGATCATTTCACAAAAGCATCCTACAAGCTCCGGGAGGTGTACACTTCAGACATTCAAGAGGCGCATGTGCTTCCCCAGCTCCTAGAAGTTGTGTGCGAAATGTGTCGCATCACAGGTCGACCCTTGGACGGATCCAAGGTCGACTTTGAAACCTTTGAGCTTGGTACCGATGACATGGGGGAGAAAGAGGAGCAAAGACTGGTCATGCACCTGTACTACTGTTGCTTACTCTACCTTCCCAGTCTCACCAGAGGTTGGTTTCTGGAGCAGAAAAACAGAGTGAAACTACCTCTCGAAAGCTGGACCCAAAAGTACTTTTCGCCGTCTTTGATCGCGGCTGCAATTCGCACGGTCACGGAATGGGTGGCCAATCAACCACAAGAGGACAACGATGCTTCGATAAGTGTCAAAGCATCCTTGGGAGGCTCGGAAATTGTGGCCTCCATCGCAATCGACCCCGAATCTCCGCCTATTTCTTTGGCGGTTTCTCTACCAGCCACATATCCTCTTGACTCGCCTACAGTATCCTCACGTACCCGAGTTGGAGTGTCGGAAAAGAACTGGCAATCGTGGCTGAGGACATTTCAAATCATCATCTTCAGCACGGGAAGCATTATCGAAGGCCTTGTGGCATTCCGACGCAACGTGCAGGGCGCTCTCAAAGGACAGAGTGAGTGTGCCATTTGTTACAGCATAATCGGTACAGACATGCAAACGCCGAACAAGAGGTGTGGGACGTGCCGCAACACTTTCCATGGGACATGCCTTTTCAGATGGTTCAAAAGCTCCAACAGTTCGAGCTGCCCACTTTGCCGCAACAATTTCAATTACGCTTAAAGGATTTGAAGACTGGGTTTACTGGATTTGGCGATGCTGTTGTCATGACTGGTGCTATGTGGCAACGCTGCAAGGTTTCTTAGATTGGGTGCTTGACGTTGTTGGTTGAAGGTTTGCCTACGATCAGCTCCGGCTGGCCCAGATGACCGGGTTAGGGTTCGGGAATATACATGCCTACTATAGGTTTGTGAACACAGTCTTTGCGGTTCGCATGCCTTACAGCTTGGGTAGTGTGCCTCGCGAACACCAAAAACCATTTCCGTACGCTGAAGCTATTTTCTGATTGTGCCTTTTGAGACTATCTTCTCTGTCCACGAAAGTCCAAAACGACAAGCATTGCTCCCGACCACGGTTCAGCTTACCCGCCGCCCCCCGCTCTCGGACGAGGTGAAGCGAGTGGTCGAGTCATTGATAGACTTAATGATTGCCTTGTACTATCGATGCGATAACTTGGGTTTTTAATGGCAATATTATCAGGTTGACCACAGCAATGGACCACACATTCGACCAACATAGACGTTGACGTGAGGCTACGTCGTCGATGCAGAGAATACTGCCGGGTTCGGATATCGGGATCTCTTGTCTTCTCCCACTTGTATGTCGTTGCCTGGTTGCGAGCTTTAGCGTGCCTTGTGGCAATTTACACACATCGATCTCATGTAAATCTATACGCCACATTTGGAATTCGAATCGCCGACAACATCCAAAGTACACATGCGTGCAGAGACTCGGTAAGGGCCACAGATGAGTCCCCACAGTACATCAATAAAGGTTTGTATAGTAAGTAGTGGTCTTGTCCCACTTGTAAAATGTACATTCGAATCGAGCAGGAGGTACATCGGCGCACAAATACCAACTTTTCATTTCCTTCGCTTCATAACTTTTACACACATTTCTTCCAGGCCATCCTTTGCCTCGCCATCCGGAAAGAAGCTGATAGATGCAATGGCTTTGTCGGCGTATTCTTGGGCGAGAGCTCGGGTCTGCTCCAATCCATCACTCTGGGCAACAAGATCTCGCGCCTGTTCGAAGGATTAGCTGTGGACTCTGCGAAAATGGACGGCCATTTGCCCCTTACCCTTTGCACATCGCCTTCTTCTGCGAACTTTCTACCGACCAATTTGCCCAACTCGGGACACGTCCTCCAGGCAAAGAGCAACGGGGCCGTGGCAAGACCCAACTCCAAGTCCGCGCCAGCCGGCTTGCCTAGCTCAGTTCCGCTCACCGTATAATCCAGCATGTCATCAACAAGTTGAAAGGCCAGGCCCAAGTTCTTGCCATATGAATAAGCCGCCTCAACCACGCTTGGTGCACACTGGCCCAACAGAGCTGCAGCTCGACAGCTCTTGCTGATCAGACTGGCGGATTTCAAGTATGTCTTTTGGAGGTAATAGGTGATTGTCTGTTCACTCCAAGTGGGATATTTTTCGTCCGACGCGGTATTCTTCAGTTGCATGAACTCTCCTTCCACCAGGTTCGCAATCACGGTAGCCAACAATTCAATCACCTCCGGATCCCGAAGGCGCGCAAGAGCGACCGATGCTCGTCCGAGCATGAAGTCGCCGGCGAGGACGGCCATTTTGTTTCCGAATGCCGTGTTTGCCGAGGGAGCGGCGCGGCGGGTCGTGGAGTGGTCAATCACATCGTCGTGAAGGAGAGACGCCGTGTGAATGAGTTCGGTGATCTCGGCCAGGCGCCTTTGCGAAGGCAGGATGGTTTCGTCATCGGGGAATGCATATCGAGCTTCCGTGGGCGTTTCCGTCAAGGGAGAAGCAATCTGATCGGGGTTGTTGTCGTAGAGAACGGAGGGAGAGGATATAGGTGTGTCAATACTGATGCTCGGCAGAGTATGGGCATCCGGGCGAGCTTGTTTGGCAGCAAACGCTGTTGCTCTGGACATTAGGAGCACCAGTAAAGGCCTCACATGCTTTCCCTCGCTCTGGGTGTAGTACTTGGCGACCGTGTCCAAGATAGGGTGACCTGATCCCAGCAGCTGTCTTATGTTCTTATTGAGAAACTTCAACTCTTCCGCCACGATCTTCAGAGGGTCAATGGTGATGTTAGTACTGCTCCCTCGGGACGGCAACACATCGGCCACTGTGTTCTGGATTTTTGAAACTGCGGCAGCCCATGCTGATGGATCTCCAGAGCTATTCGAAAAATGCCGTTTAGACTGCCGAGCTCGAGGATATTGCGTCCTGGTCAAGCACCAAGGACAAATGGCCGGAGCTGTAGAAGTCGGGACAACCGGTTGCAAAAATGCAGACTTCGACGGAATGCGCGCCCGCATTGTCGTAGTCTTGTCAGGATGGCGGAGGACAATTAAGATGCCATGAGAAATAGTAGACTGATAACAAAACAGACGCAGAAACCTGTCGGACGCGGGCGTCAATGAGGGCGTTGCTCACGACGTAAGTGTTAAGGTGTGTTCGATGCCGTGCGCGAGACTCGGATGCCAAAACTGCGCAGGCGAAAAGCGAACTGCACTGCAGGGCATCGACTTTTCGATCGGGCTGCGGATCGTCAGGGCCTCTAGCTCTTTAGCCTTTCCCCGTTCGGTACGACTATTAAATTATTCTTATTATTCTTTACTGTTATTACAACCCGCAGAGCACCATCGGCTTGCCTGGGAACCTTTCAGGTGCTGCACAGGTACAATGCAGATTGAATTGTTCAATCACCAATACGCTCGTTTACAGCTTCAACTGCATATCTGCACCTAGAAACGATTCCTTTGCCGTCCGAAGCCTGAAAATCCGGAATCCGCCACCTCCCATTGGATGCTGTTCTGTGCAAACCATCCTGCGCTTCGCCGTGCTACAAGTTGAAGGCTAGACGCTCAGATAAGAGGGCGGTTAGTAACTTAACTTGTCAAGAGGTCGCTTGTGATCGCGGACACCGGGCCTATGAGCCGAAGAGCATTGCCAGGAAGGTTCATTATCGCCCGCATTGATTCACTACGCCGGGAAATGGATTGGTCGAGCGTCTGTGAGGCCCGTACCAGATCCTACATCAAGAGTGTCCTCATTCCGAATGATTCCTAGGACGTGTCTGTCGTGGTCGTTGCTAGTAAACTGGGCTGGAGGAGTGGAACCCAGTGGCAATGGCGTCCTTGACCACGGTCTTGCAACCTGCTTGCAGGCGCGTTTGAACCATTCGACCATGAAGACTTGTATTGCAAAATGACCAGACATGTTCCTTCGATCAAGGCCCAAAGTGAGAATATGAGCGAGTGAAGATTGATACTTGTCCTTATTCCAGCGCTTCGCCGTTCTTGCGAAGCCAGTCGCGCCATTCCTGCCATTCCGCATACGATGCGCTGGCCTTCAACCCCGTGTATCTGACGGCACGGAAATCTTGCACCTCCTCCCAAGGTTTCAGAGATCGTTGCTCGCTTGCCCGGGCAGATCCTCTCAGTAGCCGTCTTCCCACACCGTAGCCATAGCCTCCGTCCCATCCGGCCTTCTTCATCAAACTTGTTACTGTCTCTTCCTTGTCCCAACCCTGTTCGACTGCAACGTCCGGAAGATATGTGGCACCGTGCCTCCGGTTTCTGTAGGTGAAACTGATTCTAAGGCCATGGAGGCCTAACGTCCAGTCCATTGCATCTCTACAAGGCTCGAAATCAGCGAGCAACGTCAAAGAGCATGAGAGAGCCGGCATTAACGAAGCCGGTATTGGCGAGAATCGGGTGTCATCAAAGGCTGAAGTCAAGGCATATGATGAAAGTCCAGAGGCGAGTGGAAGCGCTTCAAAGGTACCAATGCAACCACGCAGTGATTTGTGACCAGAGCGGGAAACCGTGTTCCAAGTGACGAAGAGAGGGTACGACTCGGTTGCAGAAAGCTTCTCGGCATAAGTTGGTGGTACGGACGCGACGGAGGTACCACTCGAAGGAGTATGCAACTGAGAACTGGACGAGCTCGGGGAGAATATGGATGGAGACGACGTGGAAGAAGATCTTGAAGACGCTGATCGCGCTTGCAATCGGGAAATGCTGGGAAGCTGAAGGCCGGGATTTCGACGTTGAATTCGCTGTATTTCCTCGTGGGCACCATCTCCCTCTTCTATTTCACCATCCTCTTCCTGTTCTTCAGGCTGCCTAGTGATTGGTTCCACGTCAATATCATCATCTGGAGCGGTTTGTATGGTCTCGTCCTGTAGTAACGATCCGGCCTTGTATGCTTCGTAGAGATCAAGTATGTTTTGCAGCGTAGGCGGATCCCGGCGATCGAAACTTGCGGAGAGAGCCTCGAAGCAGTAGAAACAGTGGGCCGGGCTCGCCATCAGTTCTTCTCAGCTTGCACTATAGCCTCTGTTAAGAGCACTACGGAGCGACAATGAGCGGGCAGGCAGAGGCAAACACGAGGTTGCCGACGTGGAAGGATTGAGCACAGCGAGGGACACAGTGGTGGTCGGGGAAGAAGAGGAGCGCGCCGAACGAGTGTAGGGCATATAGAGACCGTAGATATATGTGAAACGGGAACCTAAATAAGGCAGATGCACAGAAAGAGGAGGCAGTGGTGAGGTGAGGGTGAGGGTGAGGTGAATAGGTAGACCCGCGGCGAGATAGTACCTACTGTTGGCACAGGGTTGGTGGCAGGATCAAATGTGTAGGGGTCGCCGATACTGCATGTGGCTGACAGAATCAGGGCCAGACTCTACACGCCTCTGCGCGCGCGGTACCAACGGCCGGTGCCTGTGGAGCATGAAACGGGTCCAGGTCAGCGCCTCAGATATCTGTATCCATTGATCGCCCCCGAATACTCCGCCGACTCGGAGCTCCTTGATGCATCACTCGGTCAGTACAAGTCCGTTGTATGCACTTTCTACAGGGTGTTCTACTCGCAGTGGTACAAGCGAGCACAGCTCGATCTGTGGTCGCCCCATGGCCTGGCCCTCAATATTGGTCACATTTACTTCCAAGTATCCGTGTAGCCTACGCTGATACCCAAGCCTGTGTCACCAGGTTCCTGAAGTACACCTCCGCTTGTACAGTGATACTGTAATACTCGGGTGTCCAGCCGGCTTTGTTTTTGCAGAGAGGGTCAGCCCCGGCCTGGATCAACGCACGCACTGCCTTGAGATTCCCCCAAGCACTTGCGTTGTGCAAGCATGTGTTCCCCTGGGCATCCTGCGCATTCACATCTGCTCCGTGTGCAATCAGAGTCTTGATACTAGTATTATCTTCTGGCTGGGAAACGATGGGTTTCGAGCCGAAGGGACCCTTCCTAGCAGGCAGGGTATGGGATGATGAGGCGAGATGAAGCGGAGTCTGTCCTTTGTAGTCCCGGCGGGTAACAGTTCGAGGGAAATGGTTGCAGAGAAGCTCGACGACTGCGGCCTGTGAGTTGGCTGCGGCAAGGTGTAATGGTGTCTGCCCGTCCGTATTGACCGAGATGCCTAGGTTGTTGCCATTGTTGCTGTAAATCCAGTCTGTTATCGGCTGAGTGCTGTCGTGGCCCAAAGATATCAAAAGTTCCTACTCAGTTCAGCCACGGCTCGATGGGGAAGATCATGCGGTATACCTACTGCAATTTCCTCCAGGCCATACTGAGCAGCAAGATGCAATGAGGTGTTGCTCTTGTCCGCAAAGTCAGGGTTATGGAGGTACCGAGGATGGTGTTCCAAAAGTCGCCGGACTAAGGCCACATCGTTGAGTCGGATTGCCAGCCGCAGCGATTCATCAACATTGAGCATGACGATGTCCGGCTGCTGAGCGGGGACGACGGTGCTTCCGTAACGGCGGAAGCATTGGCATCGATAACGAATGTTGAGATGATGATGGTGACAATATCAATGCAGACAATATCTAAAGAGGATGGTAGAAGTACCTACATATGTTTCCTGGTCCCAGCCTGGATGTAGTGACACGCCGCGGGCGCCGATGCGGGCAACGCGGACAACCTCGTCAATCCGCCAATCGCCCTCCGCTATTTTGAGCTACTGCAATTCTCATCCATAATACTCCAGCACACCACACACAGTGTACATTGTAGTATCAATGGAATGGTCGTCACAAGCGGAAGCACAGCAGGAGTCGGAACAGGAGATGTTGCCATCATCATTCACAACGACTATGTCTATACTAGGTATACAACGAATTTCTCTTGACTTGAATCTTGATTTGAGTCAAGAGACGCACGTCAAAAAAGGAAACCTCTCTCTATCCATTTCGCCTGACAGTGGCAGACTCAAGAGACCATTCAAGGCAGTCTATGTGTCCTTCTTTCCCTTCTGTGCATCTCGCTGGGCTTTCCTAAGAGCTCTCTTTCTGATGTCCTCATGCATCCTTTTATTGACGCTTAGGACGATGGTGTTCATGGGACCCAATATCCCGGTAATGACGGCTGCCAAAAGGGCATGGCTCCAATACGGAGTGCCACTGTACGGATATCCCACGCTTCCTCCTCTTCGCCCAATCTTTGACAGCGCGGAGCGCACGAACGTCTTCTCCGACGGAATCAACCAATTTGCTCGCCGGACTTTGGACATTGCAGACGTGACAAGGTATGAATGCACGAAGAACACCTCAATTTCAGTCGAAGAGAGCTCTGCTGCGAGGGCATTTGACCACTGCTGCAAGAACGCCTTGGAGCCAGAGTATGTTGCCAACAAAGGCGTCGGTGTCAGGCCACCAAAAGAACCCATTGTCAGGATAAGCCCTCTTTTGTTGGGTAGCATGCTTGGTAGAACAGTCTGTGTAGCTCGTAGAGTCCCCATGCAATTGATGTTGATGATATTCGACATCTCGGGCAGAGGAGTTTCTGCGAAAGGAACAGGCATGCTGTGACTTTGACCCACGTTGTTGATCAGTATCGCGATCTGTTTTCCCTGGACGAGAGTAGCCAACGCGGCGTAGTCGGAGTCTAGGTTTTGGGAGAAATCCATAGCAAGCGTTTCAACGGCGACGTTTGGGGATGACGATTTGATCTGTGAGGAAAGGGCCTCAAGTTTCGAGGCAGTCCGAGACACGAGGATCAGGTTGAAGCCTTTTCTCGACAATTGGAGGGCATATTCCTTTCCTAGCCCGTCAGACGCGCCTGTTACCACTGCCCATGACCCCTTCGGCCCATATTTTGATAGCTACAAGCGCAGTGTCAGCGGTCGCTTCGAAAGCAGTTTGTGGCAGTCCATACAGAATGACCGGGTAGAACGAATGTGCTCAGCAGCACTCTCAATGTCGTGAAGACAATGGACCCAACAGTGAGCGCACCCACGCCTATTAGGAGCGCAGAAGCTGTGCTCTGCTGACCGAGCGATCCTAGATCAACAGCCATCGTCGCAGTCCGGGATGAAAGCCTCGTGTAGGGCTGTGACTTTGGATTTGGGCGTATCTGTTCTGGATTCGAGGAGCTCGAGGTGTGAACAACTTTTTTGGAATTGGAGGACTACTTGTAGCCGCTGCTGAGCTGAGGTGGGTAGGAAGACGTCAGGGGTGGGCAGCGAGTGCGCCCATTTAATTTGAGGTGGGTCGTAGTAAGCCGCAAGAAGTCGCAGCTTTTACGGCCTCATGAACAACTTGATTGATACTCCCTACGATCATAGGTACCTACCTATACATAAATCCTGTTGCTTGCAACAAAACGACCCTCTCAACGCCTTCGGCATTCCCTTTTCAAGCCTGTCGTCTATATCATGGCTTCGCTACTACCCTCATTTGAGGGTTACCTTCCCCTCTACATTCTGTTTGTGAGTTTCCCCTGCACCCTTCACAATCACCACAGGCTTACCCGGTGCAGGTCGGCGTGACTGCAATCGGAAATGCCTTGCAATGCTACACGACCCTCTCGTACACTCAGCGCCTCTACTCTGGTTCAGCTTCGGGACCGAATGTTAAGAACTCGAACTCCCAATCCTCTCCGGTCACTCCTCTTTCGTCGAGGACGTTCGGAACGTGGACGCTGGCTGTTGGGATTGTAAGAGTCTTTGCGGCATACCACATCAACGAGGCTTCCTGGTATCACATGCAGATGTTGACTAATGTGATCGGCCTGGTCCATTTCGGCCTGGAGGCATTCGTCTACAAGACAACTCGACCGTCTGGCCCTTGGTTTGCGCCGGTCAGCGTCGCTTTGATAGGGACTATATGGAGCATCGCACAATACGACTACTACGTCAGATAGTCATAGCGAGATGCCAGTCATTTGGCGGAGCCCTATGGTACACTCTTGTCCGGAGCCGGTGGATTCTGAACTTGTGCGCCGCCCTGGAGCCTTTTCCTGTATAGCTCTCCGCCACAGCTTTGCAGTCTGACCGTAGCCTGTTCTGGGGTGATGTCTCTTTGTGGCTCTGCCATCATCTCATATCCCACCAAGAACTTCCTGACGGTCGCGCTTCGCAGCAAAGGGGGGTAAAAGTGGAGATGAAGGCTCGAACATTCGATTTCCTCGTCAGTGCCTTCGAGGGGTGCCTGGTGGACGCCCATGCTGTATGGAAAGCTCGTCTCGAACAGGTTATCATATCGACGAGTGGTCTCCGCAATTGCCTCTGCCAGGTGCATCTGTTCCGTGTCGGTCAGATCAATTAGAGATCGAATATGTTTCACAGGCAGAATCATGGTCTCGAATGGCCATACTGCCCACCAGGGGCAGACAACCAGGAATGTCTCGTTCTCAAAGATGACCCTCTCCTTCTTTTCACGTTCGAGACGCGCATAATCGACCAGCATGTGCCCGCCGCCCTGCTCACGATGGTATTTTCTTAGTTGTTCCAATTCCAGCGCAGGCTCCTCTGGCAACGAACTTGTGGTCCATATCTGCCCATGGGGGTGAGGATTTGAACATCCCATCGCGGCGCCTTTGTTCTCGAAGATTTGCATCCACCTGTACTGATCCTTTGGCGTGCCCGCGTCTGCATGCAGACTCGTTGGGGGCAGGTGGGTTGGCCTAGCCAATGCCGCCAGAGGTGATTTGGGAGAGATGTGCGCCGTGTAAATTTCCGTCCAGGTCTTCACGATGGGAAGGATTTCCCGCGGCGCCATGTCAGCCAAGGTAATGTTGTGAGCGACACTGAAGGTCAACACGTAGCACTTCCCCTTGACTGGCTCTGCTCGCAGCAACATGCCTGCCAGGCTGCCGGGCGGGTCGGAAGCAACATAGTCAGCTTGGGTTTCCTTGACCGCGCTGTAGTCGTTCACGAAGACGAAAGTGTCCTTATAGTTGGGATTCACATCGCCTGAAGCTCTTTTGTTGCCCGGGCATAAATAACATTTCGGATCATAGGTGGGAAGATCGATCACACCCGGGGTTTCCTGCTGTCCTCTAGACATGCATCAGGCCAAATTCTGTAGGTATCGCGAGTCTCTTACTGCCATGGTCTCTTGGTTCTATGAGGGGATACGAGAATCCAACTGCCACGCAGAGGATTATATCTGCGATGGGAAATATCGTCGAGGATTTTATCCGGCATAGTTCAGGGAGCGAACAACGCGAACTCGAGTGATAGATGTGAAGCGGGAGCAAGAAATGGAATTCCGGGGAGCTACGAACTCGAGATTCGTCGCAATGTCACCTTTTATATCAGCCAGAGGTAACAAGCGGAGAATGAGGTGGAGACATGCGCAAAATGTTGTTTATTCTTAGTCCTGCTTCGAATGTTACCCTGCAACAGTGCATGTGTTGCTGGTGACCCCAGGGAGGAAGAATACCTAGGTACCTGCGAAAGAGCCTTCCTTTACTAGTAGAGTTGGCGTTCGAGGGCGGTTGAACTGCGCTGAGTGTGTCCCGTATGGTTGTGGTTCAGGTCGAGTTGTCGTCGGTTGACGTCAACACGCTTTGACTGCCACCACAGTTGTACAACATTGTACATACTACCGCCGCGCGGTACTAGTAGGAGGATTTGGGGCCGCACGCAGCAGACTCCCACTGCAGGATCTGTGGCCAGACTGCCACCACTGGCACTTACTAGTACTACTAATAGGATATCGATAACGGCGCCATGCCCTCCGTGGATCGGCGATGCGGAAACAGTCCATCACATTATCTACCTAACCATAAGACCAGTACAACGTTGTACATTCATCTCGTCCTTGATTCCAATTTTGGTCCTGCTCATCCAGTGAATATTCCTGGCATATCTATACGTTGTAGGCATCGCAGCCTGCGACGCTGGTGCACTCCTCTGCGCAAGGCCATGAGGACGATTCCGCATTGATGACGTCTCGGACTCAATGGGCGCAAGGTCTTGATCACCATCATGTCTTCCGATCACCTGTGTTTATATAGTCTGCCGAACGAGGTACTATCTTTCCCACGGACGTTGGCCAGTCTTACTGACGGCACAGATTCTGGTCTCCATTCTGTCCGGATTCGAAACTCACGCTCTGCTTCCACTGGTAGTGGTGTCGCGCCGCTTCCATTCGATCATCCTCCGTATCCTACATTTCCGTCTCCTCCTCGCCGCGGCGTTGCCGGACTATAAACTCATCCTTGAGGCATATCATCCTAGCAAGAGATACAGTGATCCGTACTTGTTCTGCACCTACCTCGGTACAGATGGACTCAGTTCCAAGCATGAGGGTGAAGGTAGTCTGTATGAGGATTGCCCCGGGGAACAAGGGAAGTTTGCCAAACTTGGGGCGCTTTACAGCCGCTTCCGCCCTGAAAGACCCAGCGTGCAAGGCTCAATGCCAGCACGACGCATTGCTGGGGCGGTCACATCGCAGGCTTCGTCCAATCCTACCCAGCCGATCTATGCCGAGGAAGGGGACGGCGGAAACACAAAGGTTCTTCACAACCTGAACCTGGATGCCGAGGAAGGGGACGGCGGAAACACAAAGGTTCTTCAC